TATCTCCCGATCATTTGTAGTCCATAAATATGTGTGGCAAAGATAAAAACTTGGAACCGATTGGATTATGAAGAATTGAATGCACAAATGGAAATTGCAACGACCAAATTTGCCCGAGGAAACTGAAGCTGACTGCGCATGTTTGGATGCATAGAAATGTTGGCAATTTTTTTTGTTGCAAATTGAGTCTTCCAATTTCAAAATGAATTCAAATTAATTATGCATATTTTGACTATTCAATGCACAAAATTCACCTTCAGCGAAAATTCCAACTTTTTGCTCTCTTCAACAAACTTTTTCTCTCGGTTTTTATTGCCAAGCGTAAACGATTGCAATTGTTTCAGGAGTGTCTTTATCGATCTAGATAAGCCTGTTTTGGAGCCCCATTGCGCATGATGTCAATCTAGAAAACAATCGATATGACCTTCGATTACTGCACATTGAACATATATCGATGCGATATATATCACCATGCATCGGAGCGGATTAATCTCATGTGCTCACACACACACACACTGGCATGAATCGCCTCAATACACATTTCGTAACATATAATTCGTGGCACACCCCATAAAGTGCATAGTATCGATTGTTTTCTCGGCATGTTCCCCGAAAAAAAACAAACACATTATGCCGTGTTTGTGGCTCTCTGCCTGACATTTCGCGATTTTCTCGACAAATTTCCGCCGAGCGCAGTCAATGTCACACAGCCATTCATAAGCGGCAATTGTTGATAATTTTCATTGTGTTAAGTTAGATGGGTATTTATCAGCTCATGGCATTGATTAAGCTGATTCTCATTCCAGAGCACGTTCGTTGCATTTACATGGAATAAGTGAAAACGGCAACAGTGACAAAAATTATGTACGGTGAAATCGAAAATGCAAACGAACCATCAACAAAAAGAAATCGCTTCGAAGGGAAACGAAATTCAAAAATCGAAATACAGGAAAAAATGTTTTTCCTTTATTTTGTCTCATTCGACACTGTGAGAATTTCATTGTATGCAAAATTCGACAAGATTTGAATTTCCACAAGAAAACAACAGACGAGAAAATACGCTAGGCTAAACAAACGATCAACTAAAACCGAAGCACTATAGAAATTAAATTTTTAGATTTTTTTTTCTTCGCCAGGTTTTGTTGTTCTTTTCGTACAAAGGTAACAAAAAAGACAGACGAGCGAAACAGTAACACACACAGAATATGGTTGAAGAAAAAAAAAACACTTCGCGACAAAGATAACAAACAATCTAGTGAATGTAATGCATACACGAGATGAAGAGAGAGAGAGAGAGAGAGAGAGAGAGAGAGAGAGAGAAAAAACATTGTGAAGACCCAAACAAAAATATGTATGCATAATATTATAAGCAGGAACAGGAAAAAACAACTATAATGGAACAACGAGAATGAATGTGTATGGAAAGAGAGTCACACATCCACGGGCGAAAGAAACGATGGAAAAATTGGCTTTTCTTTCTCTCTTTGTGTATGTCTGCTATGAGCGCGAGAAACAAAAACCAAAATAACAATATGAATGTTCTCCTCTGGATTTGTGTTTTTTTTCTTCTTCTTCTGCGGTTTTGCATACAGTCAACTCATATTGATCGTACGAGTTGTGAAACCGCGAAGAGGACTGTATTATACGATGGATTTTACTGTGACTTGACTGTAGAAAGTGCTTGTAAGCTGAAGCTCAACCGAAAATTTATTTCTTTTTAACGGTTTGAACTGTAAGGCAATGCAAGTGAAAACGTACCACAAACACGAACAAAACAAACAAAAACAACCGAGAGAGAGAGAAAAAAATTATTCAAGAACCATAAGGTTCAATCGCTATCGTATCTATTCAAAGAAATAATAAAAAACACAACGAAAGAAACGATAGTAGCAAAAATGAAGCAGCACCAATAACATACATAGCTGAAAACATCCAAGAGCGGAATACATGGTCTCATAAAACTCGAAATAAACACATAACAAATATTTTTTTTCTCCTATTTTCAAATCGAGCAAGTCCAACAATTTCCAAGTAGCAATCTATTTGTTTCTGTTTCCCATCCTATTGAGCCGCATGTAAAATTCAAATGCATACGGATCGGCATAAAATATTTATTTCCACCATAGGGCTTTATGTTTTGCATATTTCTCTTTCAACGCACAGCAGAACATATAATTTGTGTATGATGTTGGGATTCGTCGCTCCATGCCAACACAATTTTTTTTCCTTCATGGGATTTATCAATTTTTGTTTATTTCTGCTTCGTTCGAAGAGCGAAGCAACAAATATGAATTGCATGGCGAATTTCTTAATTTTTGATTGAAATTGGCGCCACATCAACTTATTGTGGAATGAAAAAAAGAAAGTCATCATTTCATATGCATGCGATTTTAATTGTTGTGTTTTTTTTTGCGAAACAGTACATCGAAGCCTATTGAACCATTTCAGCAACAGAAGGAAAAGAACGAATGTTGTGTCTCATAAAGCATAAAAGCATTTGAGCTGCGGGCACAAAGAGGTGAAAATACCCAAAGAATGCCGATGGAATAATTAATGTTGGTGTTGATAAGATATCAAGACATTTGTAAACAACGATTTAAATGCTTATAATTTTGTGTTTTTCGCTTTCTTTTTCGTCTCATTTGCTGGGTTATTTCTGGAGCTGATGGTGACAAACGTATGTTTAACAGACTCCAGTCCTTATTGCCCCGATGTCATTGAGCTGAAATAAGAAAAGAAACGAGATTATCCAAGAGAAGTCATTAATCAATGCTCGGTGGCACATATCATTGTGCTCGCGGCAAAACACACTGTTGACGACACACGTGCGCATTTCATGCTTTTAACTGCAAATTACACTTTCGACACGAAGGCGCTTTAAATTTATTTTCGGTGGAATCGAACCGAAAAAAAAATAAGACAATAAATAATTTTGGTGAGTATCAATTAGTATTCATGGGTTATAGTTGATCTTTTGTTGCTTGATTTGAAAATGACTGCCGTTGATTTATTCTTGCGCCCCTTCAGATTGTTCCATCGATACAAGGCATGAATACAATGGAAATTGATTTATAAAGAAAAGTCATTAAACAAGGAAAAGGATTGTGCTGAGGTAGCTCGACGCGGTGAGTGTGAAGTAACAGCAGCGACTGTTTGGTTGCGCGCCGTAATTCCTTTGTTTGTTGTACATAATCCGGATGTTATTGTTAAACATTTACTCTTTCTCTCTCTGTGTGTGTTTTTTTCTCTCACCAATTAGAGTCGTTACCGTATCGCACTCGCGATATTATGCGCCGCGACGAGCACACACCACGTGAATACACAATCAGTTTGGCTTCTCTTGTATTTGTTCGAGGTAACTTTGAAAACACATACGGAGAGAGCGAGATAGAGAAGAATCAAATAAAACGATGAATTTTATCGAATTGAATCGATTTGAGGCATCTGATGACTATAAACCATTCATAAGTCGTGTCCAATTATTTTGTCTATACAAAACACGTCGAACACGCGACCAATGTTCATCGAATACACAATATGCGAACTTGTCGCATTCAATGCACGCCAAAACGCGATACTTCTCTCCGTTTTTTCTCTATCGGCAATTGATTTGAACGATAATTTTAATAGAGTTGTCTGGGCTGGGGCGTAGTGTTTTTAGTTTCGTCTGCTCACACTATTTTTTTTTTTCACCAGCTCAGGTGTGATCGCCGCGCATCCAATTGACACGAACCAAATCTAATGAATATACAAATTTTCAATTAAACGATAATTTATCGCTTTAATTATAATATTTTGTAAGGGCGCTTCTTTGAATACCTAATTTATACTCGAATTAAATTGGTTCCACTGCATTTGTTCTGGAAATGTTTCGAAATCGATCGCTCGTATGACGGTATACTCTAAATTTAGAACCAATGATCTGGTTCAATTCATTAAACTAATTGCCATTCTTTGAGCATTTAGCAAGAATTTGTCACTTTTTAGCGATGTTAGAACATTTCAAGAAGGTAGCGTTTTTCGAATAGGTCACTTTGTGAAGTGAAAAACATTTATTTTAGGCTCACATACACTCATATACGTGGACATAAGCACATCATAGAGGCGCATGAAGGTTCAGATCCAATAAATTAAGTTGACTCACTGCTAATTGAAAATGAATTTTTGTCGTTTTTGTGACCGGGCAAAAATCTTCATCATCCAAAGCTTGCAGCACACCTTCCGAAAAAAGTCGAAACGAAAAATTATTAATCGCAATATCAATCTTGTTTGGCCGTTTGCATCGTAGTTGATATACTAATTCAGCATAATTTTTCAATAAATTCTTCGATGATTTTTCTCTTCTAGATTTTTTTTTCGTTCTTATTGATGATTGAAGAAGTAAGAGAGGAAAAAATCAAAATGAAAATCTTTGAAATGAATTCGTATGGCGAAAAATAAATTTTTTTCACTTTATGAAGCATACAATTTGAATTTACATTGAGAAATCGGTGTCAATTCAAATTTAAAAAAATACAAAATGATTGTCTGCTCTTGTTATTGTGAAACAAAACCACAATAAAATGTTGAAACCCAACGAATGTCCAAATCTTGATCTTATTTGACCATTTCACCAGCATAATCTGCATTACACCGGCTCTCAAACTCTCTGTACTCAGCATCTGAGGTTTACAGAGCGAGAAAACCACGACAAAAGAGAAATACAAAACCGAAAGCAATAAAAACTACAAAAGTGGGCGGAAACGATTCTCTTAAATGATCGGTCTTTTAAGAGTCATTTAGTGTATGCGCTTGTGTGTGTATGTCTGTCGTAAGTGTATTATTATTGGTCGCTGACAAAAGGTAGCGCAATCAATACGATGATCGTGAGCACTTGAGCTATTGAAAAGTGAGTGAGCTTCTGAAGCTTCACTCAACGGCAAGCTTTTGCTCATGCATTTTGAATGAGTTTTAGTTCGTTATAGTTACTAAATCGAGCAAAAAGAAAACACCTGAACCGATTTTTATATGGAGAATTCAAAATTCTATTTATTTTAATAAACGATTTCAACAATTAAATTGTATATTTTGTAATAATTGAAAAAATTTCTTTATCGATTTTCGCGGTAAATAATTCATGCTAGAAGCAATTGATTCAAAAAGTAATTCGTAGAAGTTAAACCAAACGTCTATTGGTTTTGGTGACTGAATAAACTTCGAGGCTTTGCTTGAACTCCATCAAATCGTGAATGAGATTACCCTTTGGTTCACCATTGAAATCGACATAGGTCAGTGCCTCAAATCGTTTGCGGCGTGTTTCTAAATCCTCGTTGATCTCGAATTCCGTTTCCACATTATTCGGAATGTCAACTTCCTTTTCCTGAGCATTGCCAATCACTTGAATCGATAATTTGCGTTCGGCTTCACCCAAGTAGGCCCTATAAAATTCCAACAATTGCTGTTTCGTAATTGTTGACAGGTATTCGACTTCTTTGTGTGGTCGGTCAAACTCGTATTCGTCGGTGGTGATTTCGGCCCAATTCCGTTGCACCTCCTCACTCAATTTGTTGTCTTCGTTCAATTTGATTTTAGCTAGCGATGCTTTGATGGCTTCGAAATTATCATCAGGCATTGTTTCAATGGTGGTAGGCAATTCACGGCGGAAATGTTCAATTCGATCATCCACGTAATCAACCGTGAATTTCGGCTCTTGTGAATTCACGGTGATGCTGTATCCCAAAATGCCGTAATTATCACGTAAATCCAACGACACATCGTAGGCAAGTTGCTCTTTGTTCCGGAGTGTGTCGAATATCGGTTCATGAGCGACCATCACCAAAAGGTCAATTAGAACATGTGTGCGATATGAAATCGGACCGATTTGATAAAAGTTGGTGATTACTGTGTTCACGTCTTTCGGGTGGAAAGTTTTACAGCGCAGATAATTTGCACCAACGGGTAATTTTGTGGCTGTTAACTCGATTGAAGACAACTGAAAATGCGAAATAACATCAAAATCAGTGGATGATACGGATTTATTGATGCACAAATGATAAAATTGTTGAAAAAACTTACATTTTCAACTTTTCCACAGTTGAGTTCGTTCAGAACATTGTGCATGATGTTGAGTGCACGCTCTTTGGTAATGTTCCCTTGCATTATGGCCTTGATTTTCACTTGCTCACAGTATTTCCGACAAAATTGTTGAAAATCGGTGAAATTAATCGAACGTAATCGCTGATTTTTCTGGTAAAGTGGCTGATGGTGGGATTCAATCACATTCAAACGCAGTTCCTTGGCAAGAACTTTTGGCTTCAGGCAAATATTTTCATACGTTTTGAACTGTTGCTGAACGAACACCTCAAATTGCTTTTCGGTTGTATCTTCTGCTAGAGATTTTAAGCATTTGCTGAACACATCGACGATTAAATGCAGCTTTTGACTGAATCCTTCTACCTGAAATGGAGTATGATTCATAGAGTTTTCCATGCTAATGTTCAATAAAATCTACAGCGGCTCGAATTGAAATAACAACGTACCTTGAGAACTAGGCCCAAATCAGCGGCATAGCACGAGTATTCCAATCCAGCAACGGTGGCTGGATATAGTTTCTCAACGAATTGATACTTCAACAGTGTAGCCAATAAAGTCATTTGAACCATGCTGTAAATGAACGAAAAATTAGGCATCTTTCCTACATTTTTTTGGCGCAAATTTTAATTTACTTCTCGATTGATGCAGTTGCATGTGGTGTCATGAAGTAGAAATTATAGCAGGCAGTCGGTAGTAGAAATTTGTCGTCTTGCCGAAACCACAGTTCGCACAGATCATTGTCAAGAATTTTGGTTGGATATTTGGGTAGAGTGCGTCCTTCCTCATATGAAATTGTGAAATCATCAGCAATGAATGGATTTGGCTCGGGCAGAGCAAATTCAGGGAATGGTGTTGCATTTTTCCACAACGAAATCCATTTCTCCGGCATATCAATTTCAGTATACATTGTACCGAACCACGGTTCAGTCAATTCATATGTAATATTCTCATTGTATCGCCTTGTTGATGTGATCATAATGTTGAATTTCCGTGAGTTGAGCTCATCGGTGATTTGTTGAATAGCATTTGCATCGTATTCAAAATAGAGGCAGTCGCCAGTTAGAATATATTTGGGCGGATAATGTTTCAAGCTGATGACCAGATCTTCCACATTATCGAGAGCATCTCGTTCGTTGGAAAATCGGAAAGCATTCGCTTCGATGGTCTGAATCTCACGGAATATCGATTCTTTTGGACCAGCCAATTGCAAAAGCTTTAAATAACTAAAAATAGCGCTCAACACATCGTCCAAATGATCAAATCCATCCTCTGTCAAGTGAACACAAATGTTGAACATCGAAAATAGCTTGTTCGAACCCATGCCACTATTATCGGTTCCGGCAGCCAAATCAACAGCCCACAGTTTTTTGCGTAAATAACTTAAAAGTGAACCTTTTCCTTCGTGACCGAGAATGTGACTCAAATACTGATCTGGTTTGCACTTGAAATTCTGTGGACGAGAGATACAAAAAAATTAAATGAAAACGGAAGTGGGATTTTCAAAAAAAAAATGTAGGAGAGAGTGGGGAATGGTGAAACGCACTTTTACCTAATTTAATGACATGCTAAAAAATTACCATTTTTCCAAATTTCCAACTCGTACGATAAAGTACGTGTAAAAATATAATTTTTGGCACTTGTCGCTTGTTGAAAATCGAATCGACTTAAAACAATTTGCCCTGTCGGCAAAAATCACTTGATTTTTCGATTTTAAAAAATGGTGGGGAATTGTGAAACACTTCATAAATCGATCGAAAACTGAAACTATTTTGATGAAAAATGTTTATGGAAAGCTAGAAAACGATAAAAGAAATCATTTCAATGAAGAAGAATTCGAAAAATAGCGATTGTTATTAGTCGGATTTGCAATTGTTGCCTGTGAAGTAGGTGCTAATCATTTTGGTGCATTTCAAGTGAACAGCTCGAGCGCATAAATTGCATTGAATAATTTGCCAAATTTTCGCAAGAAATGTAATAAATACGCATAAAATATGCGAAATTGACTTGAAAAATTGAAAAAATGACTTGACCAAATTTCCCCACAAAGGGTGTTTCACAATTCCCCACTGACTAAGGTTTGCAACTTGATCGCGTTTGGGCTAGTCAATGAACGTTCATGCAAAATTCCTTTTTTGAGTCGAAATATTAATGGTATACGATAATTATAAACATATTCATCTGAGTTGATTCTTCAAAAAATGCTGTGAAATCAATGCAAACATGAACGGTGAATAAAAATATTTGGAACCACATTTTCGAAGAGTCCTCACAGAGAGCAAACGTTACAAGCACACGCATTGAGTGATATTGGAAAAAAGAGCTTATACTAAGACAAGACTATGGCAGTTTTTTGAATCTGCCGAACATTTCGAATTGCTGAGAAAACGAAGTGTTTCACAATTCTCCACGTTTCACCATTCCCAACTCTCCCCTATAATATCATTTGAACTTTTGTTCAATTTTATGCTCATATCTAATCAGTGGTTTACCTCAATCATTGGCTCCAAACACCAAGTGATATCAATTTTCGAAATATTCCCAATCGGTTTCACAAAGTAGACTTTTTCATAGAATTTCGATTGAAATGCGTTTTGGTGAGTGTACTGCGAGAAATCATTGCCAGGTAGTTGGTTGTTTGGAATATTTGAAAAGTGTCGATTCGCCATTTCCTGTTGTGAACATACGCAATTATCAATTCAGAAATGAATGCAATGTTGTATTTAAACAAATCAATCAACAAGATTCGATTTCTTGGTTCGGTCACTCACCTGTAGATTATCCAACGGTAAATTTGATTGGAGGCACAGATACATGCGACTGGCGGAATAGTGTCGTTTACGAAAATCGTGAACTTTCTGATACAAAGCATCGTCTTGGATATTCTCTTTCAATGTTTCCAAGTTACCCCAAGCGAAAATGCTCGACGGATGCGTTGGTTGACCAATCAAAGATAGCAACTGACCTCGTCTCACCTCCTCACCATTTTTCTTCGAAGCAAATTCCGACTCGACAGCTTCACGTTCACGAGTCATGGCCTCTTTCAACATGAGTGGCGCTTTGAAGAATTGTGAAAACCGATCCAGGGCTTCGTCCAAGAATTCTTCACTCGTTTCGAAATAGAAAGATGTTTCGTCAAAATCAGTGTCTGCGTTATCAAAACCACCGGATTTCTGCATGAATTGATCAAATTCATTTTCGCTTGGATACTTCTCTGAGCCCATAAAAATCATGTGTTCTAATATGAAATGGAAAATAGGATAAGTTAAATAGCGAGCATGCATCCGATTGGTTTTAGCTCGAAAAAATTTAGTATTCAATGGATTATTGGACAGAAGAAAATAAAATTGAAGAAATCAAAATGAAAGAAACAAAAAGAAGAAAATAATCGATTTTACCCAAAAAGTGTGCCAATCCCTGAACATCGCGTGGATCGGAAAAGGAGCCGACATCAACACAAAGACTGCACGCTGCCAGTTTTCCTCGTTTTTCCCGATGTGAATCATCTTCCACTTCATCATCATCACTTCCTTCCAAATGCCTTTCATCGTCCTCGCTTTCCGTTTCATCTTCTTCATCACTTACAGCAACCGGTTCACGTCTATGCTTGTGTGTATGGCCATCGTTTGCATCTTCGTGCTGTGCCGAATTTTGATTTGGATCAGAAATTAAAAGTGCTTTCAATCCATTCTCCAGCCGAACTACACGGTATGATTTTTTATCATTTTCCGATTTATCTGGTGTTTCCATAACCTCAACTAAACTCATTTTATTTAATAGCGATGTTTCAACGATTGATGAATTTTCTTTACTCTCCGCTTTTGTACAGCGAACTTTGCATGGGCTACTTGTAATGTTTAAACCGTCACTGTTCCTCTTATGTGATGACATATTCAGTGCAGCAAATTTTAACTCATGTTTTGTTTTGAGAATGTATGTTGACAACTGCAAACACGAATGAAACCGCAACAACTTGTACATTCGACTGATTCATATCGGACCTTGCCGTATTGCTCAAGTATTGAGGTTTTATGTTGTGTGTCAATGGGATTTTGATTCTGTCAAATCATTTTTTAATGCTTGATATTTCCGATAGAGTGCACTGATACACGCGGTTCTGGATGACATTTCAACAAAACAATTTGTGTCCTACGCTCATTGGTCGGCAATTCATTATTAGAGTTCGATATCATTCCACTGATAGTGCACCATTGATTTATACCATTTCCAGCCAATTCATACAAAATCCAAATACTAAATATACGTAAAATGAAGAGCTTAATTGTAGTTTTATCGGTGTTAGCGGCAGTGGGCTGCATTAATGCACAAAAATTACAAATTGGTATAAAAAAACGGGTCGAAAACTGCGAAATTAAAGCACAAAAAGGAGACTTGGTTCATATTCATTATACGGTAAGTTTCATTGCGTGGTAAAAGTCTGGCTTTGTTGCGTGGATTTTGAAGTGTGTTCAACTCTCATTCAGAGTCTCTGAATTCATTAACAACTTGGAATTGCTTCATTCCGTAGGGTACACTAGAAAATGGCAAAGTATTTGATAGCAGTGTTGAACGAGAACAACCATTGACATTCACATTGGGCACCGGTCAGGTGAGCTAAAATGATGACATTTCAAGTGAAAAGTGCATTTGTCAATACATATCGTTCATTGTCAACAGGTAATCAAAGGCTGGGACCAAGGTTTGCTCGGAATGTGCCAAGGTGAAAAACGACGCCTAGTCATCCCGCCAGAGTTGGCATACGGCAAAAATGGCGCCGGTGATGCAATCCCACCTGATTCAACGTTGATTTTCGAAACGGAGCTCATGAAAATCGAACGTAAAGATGAATTGTAAATTGCATACCACCGGACTGCATACCACCGGTGAACAAACGTTCTTTCCATCTGTCGAACAAGTATCACAAGAGAACAAAACACCAATTATTTCGTATCAATTTCATTTGAATTAGTTTTTTGTATTTTGAGTTGAGTTGAGGTTTTTGTTCATCATCGACGGAATACAATAAAATATTTTTGAATGGAAAAGTCTTTTAAAAAAATCGATCAATTGCGAAATAAATGTATCTTAAAAACTAATAAAAAAATGTGTGTGTGTGTGTTGGTCACATCAATTGAATTTAATATTTTTTGATAGCTTTTCGTATGAGTGCTAAACGTTGTTTGTGTGACTCAGTAACGGCGGCCCGTTTGTATGGTCGCAGTTCGTCGGTACCGAAGCCCGGAATCCACATATTCCAATTTCGTTCCAGGTACAGTTGAACATCTTTCACCTCGACCTTTGATACTTTGCGATGTTTAGCAAACAGACAGGCTGCATTCACGGTATTCTCCACAAAATCATCGGCAATTTGAAGCAATAGCTCTTCAACATCCTCGTCCAGTTGCTCAGTTGGATCAATTTCACGCACTAACTCTTGCAAACGTGGCTTTGTCAATAGAGATGGTTGCTGTGAAATCAACAAAAAATCGAATAAATTTGTCTCATTTCAAATGAAATTTTATTTTGCCTACCGGCGGTTCATTGGTGGTGGTGGTGGCAGTGGTTGGTTGCGTTGACGACGATGAAGCATTTGATGGAGCTGCTTTGGTTGATGAGGCGCCGATACTGCTCTGACTGTTCTCTGTTGGTGACAGAATCATTTCTAGAAAATAACACAACGAATTCATTAGCTGCGTTGAATATGCGTTCAAAATACGGCGCCGCACACACTTACCAGAGCTTTTGATGACGGCCACATTTTCCATATTGTCCATGGCGTCGTCACACAATATATCGAGATTTGTGTCGTTTTCGTTGATTGATGATATTTCTGACATTATATTTGGATTTAAGATTTGTTTAAAAGTTACTTAGCTTTGCTTAATAAAAATGTTTAGTTTGTGTGGATTGTTTTTGGTTCTGTGCATATATGTGTGTGTACAACAACTATTTGTAATAAATTTTGATACAGAAGAGAAGCAAGAAGAACCGTTTAAGCAATTTTGTGTGTGTTAGCTGTTTGATTGAAATGAAAGAACTTCACGTTTGAAAACAGTTAGTAAATCTAAACTCTACTTGCACTACTAATGATTTTTGAGCCAAAATAAAGTGTATAGAGTATTTGATGGAGAGGACGATTTTGTTCATAAGAAACAATATAAATGTGTATGTGTGTTTTTGTATGCGAAATAGCAACAACAAATGATACAAGGGGCGGCCTAGATCGAATACAAAAACAAAAAACAAAAGAATTTGTGATTATTTAGTTTTTCCAGTTGATTTCCAATGGTTTCACAATACAATAGATAGTCAAATGTAGCGTAAATAATGAAATTTATCGGAAAATTATGAAGATGAAGGAAAAAAAATCACCTTTGCGCCGTCAATTACCTTTTTTCTACTTCTTTCGCTTATATTTACGATCACAATAATTTAGTTTTTTTTTTTTGGTTGCATTGACAGAGTGACAGTTCAACGCAACGCAACGCATTGTTCGCATCACGCAACACCAAAGTTTGGGCTGAAACAGAATTCAGTCATACTTTCAAATAGAGCTCGACTGAACATTGTTGAGCACATGAGTTGAAGTGGTAAGGAATTTTAATTTTTTTCTATTGCAACTGAACAAAAATGGAATGTACAATTTCCGACTGTGATCAGTCCCAGATTACAAATTCAATTTGTCAATGTGTTTTAGTTCATAGTGGAAACTAAATCCTCAACTGTTTTTTTTTGACAGAGTGGCAAATTGTTCAACGTAAATGTCAAACAAACTGTCATAGTGAGTGTAAAACCTGTATTTATTTTTGTTTTGATTGAGAAAACCATTTCTATGTGGTTTGCCATCAAATTATTGTAGGAATAATGAAATAAATTCAACATTTTCAACAAGTTTTGAATTACTCTCGATAAGAGACAAAGCATAGAATACCATAGAAAAGCTTCAATTCGTTCAAAGTAACATCAAAATCATCTGAAAAATGCCGAAACGCTACTGTTGTGTGCAATCTTGTCCGAATTTTGTAGGGACATGGGGCGATATACGATTTTTTCTGTATGTATAAACATATTGATTGAGATTTACATAATTTCTTTAATTTTTCTGGCACATTTTTTCATTCACAATTAAATGCTATTCCATATTTCCAATCATATTCAATGTTGCAAACAGTTCACCAAGAGACGCAGAGCTTCAAAAGAAATGGGAACAAGCACTCAATAGACCACCATCAGCAAAATTTCGTTTGTGCAGCCTGCATTTCAAAGAGGAGGATATTATAACGACGAGATCTGGTACAACATTGAAAAAAGGTGCCATTCCGATACCCGTCCTTGTACCAAAAACAGAAAGGTAACAATGAATGCTTGTAGCTACTGTTCTTATTTCATCATATTTTATCTGTTTTTCCCAAAGTTCACCGGACACTCACATGGAGAACGTGAAAATAATTGATATTGCGACAATTACGAAGTAAATAACATCTTTTCGGCATCTCTATTGCAATCGGGTGAATGAATTTTAACAAAATGTTTGAAAAATCTTTCAGTGCTTCAAGTACACCGAATCTTTGTCAATCGTGCCTTGGTTATGATGTGAAATTACAAGCGGCTCATGCAAAGATAACGAGGTTAGAAGAGAAAGTGATCAAATTGACAGCCGAAAATCGAAAAATGAGGCTTTACATTCGGGGACAAGAAAATTTATCTGAAGATAAATTTGATTCTCGATTGAAAAATGTCAAAACGTGTAGTCTTTGCGAAGTAAAATTGACGGCAGATGAGTTTGAGCGACATTTATGTGTTGAACGAGAGAGCATCTTCTGTCCCTTATGCCCACGTACAAATGCATTCCAATCAACGATTAGCTTTCTTGATCATGTTCATCAGCACACCGAGGCGTCGATAGGAATGGACAGAAGATTTTTGTACAGGTGCAACCAGTGCACTCTAGGATATCCAATGGAACTTTTATTGGAGTGTCACAAAAGGTCACACATCACTCAGAAGCCAATGAGCATGAACGTTAAAACCGAACCCGCAGAAGCAATGTCAATTGACGAAACTACTAATAACGATCAATCCAGTTCTGTTAGCGGGCCTTCCAATTCAGTCCATGCCAAATGTAAAACATGATTTGATTTCTTTGATTATATTGTTAACTTTTTCTTGAACATTTCCAGTATTCAAATGCGGACTATGTGATATGGCATTTGGATTACCCAAAGAGTTGCAACATCATGTGAGAAAATCCCATAAAAAAGCAATGGAAAAGCGCATCGAGTGTTATTTATGCAAAACAGAGTTCGAAACTATCGAAGTACTTCGCGTTCATATGAAACGCCACGAAAGAGACCATCCATGTAGTATTTGCAAAATGGATTTAACTCCCAGTGAACTGGGTTCACATTTGTGTGGCGACGAAAAAATCGTGACCTGTGAGTACTGTCCAAATGAATTTACAGCCACATTGAAGCTGGTTGAGCATATAGAGATGTCACATAGAAATGAGAAATTTCCATTGAAATTTTATCGATGTGATCATTGTTCGAAGTTCTATCCTTCGATCGTCCTGAAGAAACTTCACTTGAAGTCACATGAACAAGATGCACCGAAGCGATTTGTTTGTAAGATCTGTAAAAAGGCTTTTTCATCTAAATATAGTCTGCAAACTCACAGAAAGTCACACGATGAGATGAGATGTAAGTGCGGTCCAAATATTATTCCAAAATATTTCAATCACCTTTTGGCAATTATTTTCCATTCTTTCTTAGCTCATCTCTGCGAGGAATGTGGCAAAAGTTTTAAGACAGTGCGAGGTTTAAGTTTTCACAGAAACTCGTATCTTCATAGTAAAGAGCCGGCAATGATCCAGTGTCCCGATTGTCCTAGGACATTCAACCAACTTCATAATTTCAAAAACCATAGTGCAGTGCATCGAGAAGATAGATACGTGTGCGAAATCTGTCAAGCGGAACTTGTATCGAAAGTATCGTACAAAAGTCATCTAAGTTCGTATTCGATTTTAATGTTCAATTCGTAAAAATACTTTGTCATTGGCAACATTATTCTATTCGTAGAGATTCACCGAAGAACCGAGGCCGACCGAAAATATGCGTGCAAAATATGCCCAAGAAAGTTTTGGGATCCGAAAACCCTAAGAAACCATCGGAGCGTACACAATGGCGCAAGATGTAAAGAATTAATTTAATTTTAACTCCTTTGGAATGTTATTCCATTCACTTGATCATGATTTTTACTTCTTTAGTGCACAGCTGCCGATTTTGCAGCCAATCGTACAAATATGCTGGTGACTTGAACAAACATCTTCGGACTCACCTTGGCAACGAAATATATGAATGTTCAAAGTGTCCAAAGCGATTTAAATATCCAAAAGAGCTTCAAAAACACGAATTCCAGCATTACAAAGAAGAAAAGGAAGCGGAAGGAACAAATGACTAAAAGTTTAATCTATATTAAGGCACTAGTTCCAAGAATTACAATCGTGCACGATTGTTATTCTTGGAACTAGTGCCTTTAGATTTATGTTTTTTTTCGAACAAATAATGAATAGGACGAATAAAAATTAAAATGTCAAAACTCATAGTATTTTCATTTTTATTCCATCATAATTATAACGTCTGTGTTTAGCTTTTTCTTTGAGAGAAGAGTCATACAGTTGTTTGACGTAAATGTCAAACCAACTGTCAAAATGCAAGTAATTTCTTTTGTTTATTCTATTTTGGTCGTAAACACATACATTTTTAGGACGTGTGGTGACAAATTATTCATTTATTTTGGAATAATGAAATAAATTCAAAACATTCAATAAGTTTTAACCGCGAAGAATAAAGTTTCGAATAACATGGAATAAAAAATTTAAGCAGTAAAATCAATGGTGTTAACAATATTTAAGAAGTTGTCCAAAATAACTTGAGAATAATCTCAGGAGGCATCAAGACAATTGATTTTTTATAGATACCGTACAACTAAAATTTCGGAGAAGGGGGAAAAAATGCCGAAACGATATTGTTGTGTTCAATCTTGCCCATTGTTTCGTGGCACATCGGATGGAAATGCTCGATTTTTCTGGTACAAATTTACGAATCAAGATTTCAAATTATTTCATTTTTTCATTCACAATTAAATGCCATTCCATGTTTTCAATCATGTTCAATGTTTCAAACAGTTCGCCAAAAGATCCAGATCTTCGAGCGAAATGGGATCAAGCCATCAATAGGCCACCAATAGGCAATTTTCGTTTGTGCAGCCTGCATTTCAAAGAGGAGGATATTATATGGAAGAGCACAGGTGCAGCATTGAGATCCGGTGCCATTCCCATACCCGTCCCTGTGCCAAAGACGGAAAGGTAAGAATGAATGCTTGTAGCTACTGTTCTTATTTCATGACATTTGATTTATTTTCTCCATAGTTTACCGGAGACACACGTGGAGAACGTAGAGTTAATTGATATTGCGACAATTATGAAGTAAATAACATTTTTTCGGCATCTCTTTTTCAATCGGGTGAATAAATTTTGACTAAATATTTGAAAAATCTTTCAGTGCTTCAAGTACACGAAATCTTTGTCAATCGTGCTTTGATTATGATGTGAAATTACAAGCGGCTTATGCAAAGATTGCGCTCTTAGAAAAGGAAATGAGCGAATTGAGATCAAGAGAAAATAAACGAATGCAGGCAAAGAGAATAGTCAAGAACCAAATTCGTTCCAATTCGACTCAAGACACAGAAAAGAAAATGTGCAGTCTTTGCCTAGTAAAATTAACAGCATTTGAACTTGAACGACATTTATGCACGGATGACGAAAACATTGTTTGCTCTTTATGTCCAACGACATTCAAATCAACAGTGAGCTTTATCAGGCACATAACGAAGCACAGCGAAATGACTCTAGCAACTAAAAACAGATTAATGTTCAAGTGCAACCAATGTAATCTTGCATATGCAATAAAAACTTTGTTGGATTGTCACAAAAAATCACACGAAGACAACCCTCCTCCGCCAGAAGAGCTTAATCTCAAAGTTGAATTCCAAGAACCGATGTCGGTTGATGAAACTTCTAATGATGACACAATTCTACCCACATCTATGCTCACTGTTGAACTAAACGAGTCGGTCGAATCAGCCCGACAATTAATCCAGCCATCAACTCAATCAAGTGCAGTGGACGAGCCTCCTAAGCCAGTGTCACAGGACAATAAATGTAAAATTCAATCACAAAAATCGTGTTATCCGAAAAATTCATTTGTTTTTCATTTTCAGTGTTCAAATGTGGACTATGTGATGTGGCATTTGAGCTACCAAAGCAATTATCATGTCACGTACGTGAAAATCACGATTCAAAAGACAGTTTTCAGTGTTATTTGTGTAAATTTGATTTTGCTACTGTCAAACAACTTTGGATGCACATGAAACGCCATGCACGAGACCAGAAATGTGACATCTGCAAAACCGAATTAACTCTCAACGAACTGAATTCACATTTGTGTGGCGATGGGAAAAGTATTCGTTGTGATTACTGTGTAGATGATTTTACGATTACATCGAAGCTGGTAGATCATTTGGAAAAGTCACATAAAAAGAGGAAAATCCATCGATGTGAAATATGTTCCAAAGTATTTTGGAGCATTGCTCTGAAGGAATTGCACATGTTGTCACACGCACAAGATGCAGCAGTATCTACACATGAACAAGATACAGCAATGCCATTTGCTTGCGACATTTGTTCGAAAGTGTTTTGTAAGAAATTTCAATTGGGTCGTCATATGAAGACGCACGATGAACAAAGACGTAGGTGATTTTTTTTTCAGCAGCTAGGTAATTTTACCGAAACTGTTCTAGAATAATTGCTTCCATTTGGTGTTTTTTTTTTCAGCTTATCTCTGTGAAGAATGTGGCAAAGGTTTTAAATCGGCACAGAATTTACTTTTGCATAAAACTTCCATCCATTACAACGAACCAACACTTCAGTGCCCTGATTGTCCACGTAAATTTTTCCGTTTGTGTTTGTTGAAGAGCCACAGTGCCGTACATCGCAAAGATCGAGACGATAAATACGTGTGCGAAATTTGTCAAGCCGAACTTGTATCAAAAGTATCATACAAAAGCCATTTAAGTTCGTATTTGATTTTAACGTTCAATTCGTAAAAATACTTTGTCATTGGCAATATTATCCTCTTCGTAGAAATTCACCGAAGAACAGAAGCTGATCGAAAATTTGCGTGCAAAATATGCCCTATGAAATTTTTCAATGTAACACACTTGAAAAAACACCAGCGTGCACACACTGGCGCGAGATGTAATGAATTAACATCATTCAACTGTCTTAAACGTTGTTTTACCCACTGTTTTTCTACACTTGTTTTTCAGTATTCAAATGCCGGTTTTGTGATCAATCCTACAAATACAGCGGAGACTTGAATAAACATCTTCGGACTCATCTGGGCAATGAGATATACGAGTGTCCAAAGTGTCCGAAGCGATTCAAATACCCGAATGAGCTTCAAAAACACGAATTCGAGCATTACAAAGAAGAAAAGGAGGCGAATCAAACGATGGAGTTAATTTAAATGTACTCAGAATAAACGATAAAAAAATGAATGGAATGAATAAAATTTAGAATTAAAATGAATATCAAAAATCTGTTTTGAAACTGAATGCATTTTTTATTTGAATCAGCATAATGCCTGCGTTTAAATTGATCTGTTTTCTTTTGACATAAAGGCAAATGGTTTGACGCAAATGTCAAACGAACTGTCAACATGAGTGTAATGATTGTGTTTATTTTGTTTTGATTGTGAACACAGTTCTGTATTATTTTCTAGTGAATTATTTTTGCGGTATAAATTCAACATTTTCAATAAGTTTCAAACTAATTTCGATGAAGGACACAGTATTAAATATTATAAAATATAGAATTGAAACAGTGATTCCAAGCAAAAACAATTGCTTAACAATTTTAAGCAATAGTTCGATCCAACATCATGAATATGTCAAAAAAAGACAGAAGAAGTCGATATTCGTATTGCCTTTTGCAATCGTGCAAAAACTTTCTTGGCACAATCGATCCAGCCGTGAACTTTTTCAGGTGCAAATATTGAATTGGGATTGGATAATTCCATATTTTTCATTCACATTAAAATACCATTCCATGTTTATGCTTATTATAGTACGCCAAAAGATCCAGAGCTTCGAGTCAAGTGGGCAAAAATCATTAATGTGGAACCATCAATAAATTATCGCTTGTGCAGCCTTCATTTCAGGGAAGAAGATATTCAAATAAATCATGATCAAGGTGTTGTTTTGAAAGCTGGTACCGTTCCAACATACGTTCGACAGTAAGTACAAACGCTTGTAGCTGGTGACATTGTGAGATTTCATTGAATTTAGTTTATTTTGTTTGGTTTCATTCTGACAACAGATCACAGAAGCCACTCGAAAATAACGTAAAAATAGTCGAGATTGAAACAATCAAAGGGTAACTAACATTATGTCTTGGCTATTATCCCTCTTAATTTATCTATAAATGAATGTCCGAAAACTTCTTCCAGTGTTTCAATTAAACCAAATTCATGCCAATCGTGCATTGACTACGATTTGAAATTACAAGCGGCTCATACAAAGATAACGATGTTAGAAGAGGAAGTGATTAAATTGACAACAGAAAATCGGAAAATGAAGGATTTTATTCGAGAACAAGAAAATTCAACTGTAGACAAAATCCGTTTGCCACTGAACTACGACGAAAAATGTAGTCTTTGCCAAGTAAAACTGACAGCAGTGGAATTTGAGCGACATTTGTGTGTTGAAAAAGAGAGCATCTTGTGTCCTTTATGCCCATGTACAAATGCATTCCAATCAACGATTGGCTTTCTTAATCACGTAGATCAACACACCGAGGTGGCTCTAGCAACTGACAAAAGATTACTATTCAAGTGCAACCAGTGTAGTGTCGGCTATCCAATGGAAATTCTACTGGAGTGTCACAAAAAGTCACATGTTACACACACCACTCGGACGCCAGAGCCCAAGCCCATCAAATTTGAGCCAGAAGAATCGATGTCTGTTGACGTAACTACTGATGATGATGAAACGCTTCCGCCATTAAGTCAATCAAATTCTGTTAGCGGGCCTTCAAAGCCAGTTCTAGGAAATGATAAATGTAAATGATCACTGTTTTAGATTTCGTTCAATATTCCTAACCTTTCTATGTTTTAATTTCCAGTATTCAAATGCGGATTCTGTGATGTGTCATTCGAACTACCAATATTTTTATCTCTTCATATAAAAGAAAATCATACTAAGAGAAAAACTCATGTTTCTAGATTGCCTAAAGCGAAGAGTGAATGTCATGAAGCAAAAACCATATTTGTTTTTCGTTTACGTGAGGAAAATGAAAATAACACTGAAAAACAGAAAGAAAAGAAAATATTCCAGTGTTATTTGTGCAGAACGGATTTTAGCACATTCAAAAGACTTCAAGTCCACATGAATAGAAGTCATAAAAGGAATCATAAATGTGGGATCTGTAGAATGGTATTAACTGCCAAAGAGCTGCGTTCACATTTGTGTGGTGGCGAAAAATGCATTCGTTGCGAATATTGTTCAAATGAATTCACCACAACGAAAAAACTGCTTGATCATTTGGACAAGTCACATGAAAAGAAGAAACTTCATCAATGCGACAAGTGTTTAAAATTCTTTACAATGATAATTTTGAAGGAACATCACTTGAAGTCACATGAGCTAGATGCACCGAAGACATTTATTTGCGAAATCTGCTCCAAAGCTTTTCCTTCGAAAGAATGTCTTAAAAATCATATCAGAATCCACGATAAGACAAAATGTTAGTGATTTGTACTAGAATAACACATTCCAGCAACATTCCAACCGTTTATAACATTTAATTTCTATTACTTCTCAGCTCATCTTTGCGAGGAATGTGGCAGAGGTTTTTCATGCGTGCAGTATTTGGAATCCCATAAAAAGACGCATACTCAAAGAAATCCAAAATTCCAGTGCCCAGATTGTCCGAAGAAATTTTTGGAATTGAGCAATTTGAGAAGACATAGTAATCTTCATCGAGACGATAAATACGTGTGCGAAATCTGTCAAGCTGAACTTATATCCATGCCCTCATATAGGAAACATAAGAGTTCGTATTCTGTTTTAACTGGTCAATTATGAAATTCTTTGTCATTTGCAATATTGTTCCCTCCTCAGAGATTCACCAGAGAACAGAGGCCGACCGAAAATATGCGTGCAAAATATGCGATAAGAAGTTTTTCGATCCAAAACATTTGAAAATACACCAGCGTGTACACACTGGCGCGAGATGTAATGAATTAACATCATTCAATTGCCGTAACTTTATTCATCTCACTGTTTTTTTGCCCTTATTTTTCAGTATTCAATTGTCGCTTTTGTGATCAATCCTACAAATACACCGGAGACTTGAATAAACATCTTCGGACTCATCTTGGCAATGAAATATACGAGTGTCCAAAGTGTCCGAAGCGATTCCAATACCCGAAAGAGCTTCAAAAACACGAATTCGAGCATTACAAAGAAGAAAAGGAGGCAAATCAAACGATGTAGTTAATTTACTTAAAATAAACGATAAAACATGAATGGAATGAATAAAATGTAAAATGAAATTTAAACTAAAGTTGGAGCCAATTAATTTTCCTTTTTATTGAAACAAACAAAACACACGCGTTCAAGTTTGCCGGTTTCTCTTTTTGACAAAAAGCCGATTGTTTGACGTAAATGTCAAACGAACTGTCAAAATGTAAGTGAGCGTTTAGTTTATGCTATTGTTTTGGTTTGCGAACACACATTTCCATGTCGTTTGTTGGCAAATAATTTTAGTTTTTTTTGGAATAATGAAATAGGTCCAAAATTTTCAACAAGCTTCCACCTACTTTGGATGAAGCATCATTAAATACTATAAAATAAAGAATCCAAACAGTGATTGAAAGTGAAATTAATTGTTTTAAGTAAAACCTTCACGTCAAAAATATGTCGCAAAATAACCGATATTGTTGCTTGAATTGGTGTCAAAATTTTCTTGGCACAACGGATCCAGATGTTAAGTTTTTTCGGTATGAATATATTGATTCCGATTCCAAAAAGTCATATTTTCTATTCTCATCAAAACACTGTTCTATGTTTATATCCATTACAGTACGCCAAGCAATCCAGAGCTTCGAATCAAGTGGGCAGAATGTCTTAATTTAAGTCCATCAGTTGGATATCGTTTGTGCAGTCAACATTTCAGAAAAGAGCATTTACGTACGAACGGTAGATTGAAACCAGGTGCAATTCCAATACCCGTATCACGGACTGTCAAGACTGAAATGTTAGTATTATGACGTTAGTGCATTTCATTTTCTAAAAAAATTGTTTCATTAACAGATCAGAGGCCGCTCCAACAGAGTGTATAGAAGTAGTACATATTGAAGAAGTTGAAAGGTAATTAATCTTCACTTGTCTGCTTTTATCGATCTAAAAATCTATTGTCCAATCGAAATATTCTAGTGCTCCAGATCAGAAAGAATTGTGTCACACTTGTATTCAATATGAAGGGCAATTAAAAGCGGCTCGTGAGCAGATAGTGCTGTTGAAACACAAGTTGATCGAATTGACGACCGAAAATAAAATGCTGAAGAATCAAATTCTGCTTGAATCAACTGAAGAGTTGATCTGTAACGAAGCGTCACATGAAGAACTCATTCAACAGGCAAAACAGATTTGGAAAAAGACTGAACCCGATGAAATGATTTCTGTCAATGAACTAATTTTAAATGACGGTCCAATGTCACCCGCTTTGCTCAACGTTGAGATGGATGAATCAACGTATGATAAGTTGTTGGTAGAGGCATTGAACGAATCTTCGGAAGAGATGGAAGAAACAATTGAAACAACCATTCAACAATCAAAATTAGTAGATGAGTCAATCCAGCCGCCGCAAGAGATTAGCAAAAGTGAGACATCACCTTGTTTAAACATGCACATCTGTTCTAAATTTCTAGTCCATTTTAAATTCGTTAAAATGTTCTCTCTTGATTTTCAGTGTATTATCAATGTGGATCGTGTAATATATCATTCGATTCACCACGAAAATTATCCCATCATATAAGTCAAGTGCATAGAACGACTCAAGCCCTTAGCTTGCCTAGATCCAAGAGTCAATTTCCCAAAGCAAAAAATACGCCTGTCCTCAGCTTGCCCGAAACGACGAAAATTGCCCGCAAAAGAAAAAGAGTAGAGCGGATTTTCCAGTGTTATTTATGCGGAATGAATTGCAGTACTAAACAAATACTTCGAGCTCACATGTATCTCCATGAAAGATGCCATAAATGCGACATCTGTAAAACGGCATTAACCCAAAACGAGCTAAATTCCCATTTATGTGGTGAAGAAAAAACCATTCGCTGTGACTACTGCCCAATTGAATTCACCGTAACATTAGAATTGCTTGAGCATTTGGAAAAGTCGCATGAAAAGAGGAAATTTTATCGATGCGAAAAGTGTCCAAAATTCATAGCATCAATTGCTCTGAAGGAAACTCACATGAAGTCACATGAGCTCGATGCACCAAAGCGATTTATTTGCGAAGTCTGTTCCAAGGCTTTTACATCAAGAGTTAATCTAAGAAGTCACCGTAGATCCCACGTTAAGACAAAATGTTAGCGATTTGTATTTGAATAACATATTTCAGCATCATTTTAATCATTCAATTTTTGTTACTTTCTTAGCTCATCTCTGCGAGGAATGTGGCCGAGGTTTTAGGGATGCACGGAATTTGTTGATCCATAAGGGATCACATATTCATAGTGAAGTGCCAACATTTCATTGTCCTCATTGTACCAAGAAATTTTTTCAAAGGGACAGTTTCGAAAGGCATATTGAGTCAGCACATCGAGAAGATAAATACGTGTGCGAAATCTGCCAAAATGAACTTTCATCAAAGAATTCATTTGAACAGCATCTGAGTTCGTATTTGATTGGAATTTTTCATTTATGCAGAACTTCATTGATGGAAATATTATTTTTTTTTTTTATAGGAAATCACCGAAGAACAGATACGGACAGAAAGTATGACTGCAAACTATGCCATCTGAAATTCTTTAAACGAGCAACTCTAAACGCTCATCAGAAAGTACACACTAGCGCAAGATGTACGGAATTAGTTCGATTTAACTACATTGTGATTTTATTCCATTCCATTCACTGATAATTTTTAACTTCAATTTTTCAGTGTTCAGTTGCCGATTCTGCAAGCTATCTTATAAATACAAAGGGGATTTGAACAAACATCTGAAAACTCATATTGGAAACAAAATTCACGAATGTAAAAAGTGCTTCGAGCTATTCGAATATAAAGATCTTCTAAAACACGAAAATGAACATTACAAACAAGAAAAAGAAGCGAATGAAACGAACAAGTAAAGGCGAATTTTCATACTGAAGTTGGACGATTTGGTTTCAATAGCTAATGAATGTGAATAGGATCAATAAACATCAAAATTAAGTTTTAAAAAAATCCATTGTTTGTTTGCATTGAACTACGTTTTTTTCGGGTTGGCGATTTTTCATTGACAGAAGAGAAGTATGAACGTTTGACGTAAACGTCAAACGAACTGTCAAAATGCAAGTGATTGTTTAGCTTGGGTTGATTTGGTTCTGTTTTGGTTGTGAACACAATTTATGTTCGTGTTGTTTTCTACAAAACGCTGTTTGGTGCGCTCGTCCTCAATATTTAATGAAACAATTAATTCAACGATATTAAAACGAGTTAGTTTAGAGAAAAAACTAGAATAGTTACAATGAGAAAGAGATTTTGTGGTGTGAGCTCTTGTCCGAATTTTACTGGAACCGCAGATGAAAATGTCCGATTTTTCAAGTATGAAATTCACTCAATAGATTTTTATGATTTTCGTCATTTTGTTTCATGTAACCATTCTACGATATCATTCATTACAGATTGCCAATTTACGAACCGGAACTTCTGGTTAAATGGAAGCAAGCTGTCAATAGAGAAATGCCAGGGAATTTTTTATTATGTTACTTACACTTCAGACAAGAGGATCTTATAGGGAGTAAATCTCATTCAAAATTGAAACCGGGTGCCATTCCAATACCCGTGCCGACTGTCAAGACTGAAATGTTAGTATGAATGGTTGTAACTTGTAAAATCACTGCATTTTGTTTCATTGTTTATTGTAATTGGTTTCGACAACAGATCAGATGAACCTCCCATAGAAGATCCTCTCCCAGATGAACCTACCACAGAGGAACCACACACAGAGCATGTGGAAATAATGGATATTGATGCAATTAAAAGGTATTATCCTCTTCATCATCTATCTTGATTTATGGATATAATTAAAAGAATATATTTTTATAGCCGTTTCAGTGCTTCAGATGAACAAGAGTTGTGTACGTCATGCATTAAATATAACATACAATTACAAGCGGCTCATGCGGAGATAGCGGCATTGAAGAAGAAATTGAGCGAATTGACGGAAGAAAATCGAATAAGAGGCAGAAAGTGTAGACTTTGCCAAGCCCAACTGACGCAATGGCATTTGTGTATCGACGCAAAGAACATCGTTTGCCCCTTGTGTTCACATCCATTTGTAACAACCGCTAGCTTTCTAAAACATATAGAAGATCAACATGCCGAATTGACTCAAGTAGCTAGCAATAGATTGTTGTATAAGTGTGACCAGTGTACGCTTGGATATCCAATGGAAATATTATTAGAGTGTCACAAAAAAGCACATGAAAACGCTACAAAACAGTCAGAAGAACCACCACCACCAACTGAAGAGTTGAATCGTCACGATATAACACACGAAAGTATCAAACAAGAGCCAGAAGAGCTGAACACCTTGATTGAACCTGACGTACAGATTTTAATTGATGACACAGCGTCGAATGATTCGTCAGTTCTGTCTGTTTACATGGTCACCGTTGAGTCGGATGATGAAAAATCATCAGGTAATAAACCGCCTGCAGCAACTGTGGACGCATCATCAGACGAGGTTGAAATAATTGAAATGTCAGATGACAGCTTAAACGAGACTGGGACCTTAAAACGTAAAACAAACCATCACATTAACATTTGTTATTGTCTCAAAATAATGGATTATTCAATTTTTCAGTGTTCAAATGTGGAACGTGTGAGGAATCATTCGAAACTACAAAAGAACTCAACGATCACGTACGTGAAAATCACAAATGGAATCACACATTGTACACATGCCACTTGTGCGAAAAAGATTGCCATACCCAAAGCAATCTGCAGAGTCACTTTAAACATCATGTAAAAATGACAAAATGTCAAGTCTGTAAAAGGAGCTTAAAACTAGATGACTTGAATTCACATCTGTGTGGCAAAGAGAAGAGTATTCGTTGTGATTACTGTCCAAATGAATTCACGACCACATCAAAGCTAGTAGAGCATTTGGAAAAATCACATGAAACAAATGTTAAATTCTATCAATGCGAAAAGTGTAAAAAGTGTTTCCCCATGATTGCACTAAAGGATTTTCATATGATCTCACATGCACAAGATGAGCCAAAGCCTTTTGTATGTGAAATCTGCTCCAAGGCTTTTTCGAAGGAATATTATCTGAAAGTTCATAGCGAGACTCACGATGCGCCGAAATGTAAGTGATTTATTTCTTCAAAGAAAATGTGGTTCAACATTGATTTTGGTCATTTTGCAGCCCATCTTTGTGAAGAATGTGGAAAGGGTTTCCCAAGCAAACGAAATTTGCAAAAACATCAAGACACTCATGATCCCAATAGAAAACCAACAATCCAGTGTCCCGATTGTCCCAGGAAGTTTTACAATGCACAACATTTGAGAAGGCACAGTGATGTGCATCGCGAGCATGATTACATTTGTCATATCTGCCAAGCTGTACTTAAATCATTGCTAGGACTCAGAAAGCATTTAAGTTTGTATTTGAATTTGACTTTCAATTTAGAAAACTACGTTATAAACAAGAAAAATATCATTCTTTTATAGAGATTCACGATAGAACTGAATCTGACCGAAAATATGCGTGCAAAATATGCCCTCGAAAATTCTTTAATTCATATTCGTTGAGAAGTCATCGGAAAGTACACACTGGCGTGAGATGTAACGGATTAATATCATTCAATTGCCGTAACTTTATTCAATTCAGTGTTTTTTTAACTTTGTTTTTCAGTATTTAACTGTCGCTTTTGCAGCCAAACCTATAAATACAGTGGTGATTTGAATAAACATCTAAAGACACACTTGGGAAAGAAAATTTACTCCTGCCCGAAATGCCCAAAGCGATTCGAATATCCAAATGAGCTCCAAAAACACGAATTCAAGCATTACAAAGAAGAAAAGGAGGCGAATTAAACGATGGAGTAAATCGTTATCATCAAAAGTTTTATTTTTTTAGAATGAACCATAATGAATGTAAATGAAAAAAATTAACATTTCAATTGACAATTAAACGAAGCCAATCCATTTTTATTTATGTTTTCATTCAAATGTTGTCAGCTAGGTTGTTTTTGATATCAGTTAAATGATAAGTGCTCAATATAAAGAGCATCAAATTCTGCGTCAATTGATGGCATGAACACGACGCATGGATTGCTATTCACACTTCCCGAAGCAAAAAACTGTTGTAAAGTCTGACCATCAATTGCTGTGTATGTGTTATTGTCATCAAACCGTGCAGAAAATTTCCTCTTCACATTATACAGACACTTAATTAATATAGTCACAACTTTCCTATTTAGTTTAACGGGTTTTATTGACAGAAGAGAAGTATGATTTTGTTTGACATAAACGTCAAACGTACTGTCAAAATACGAGTGATTGTTTCCCTTGAGTTTTTTTGTTGTTTTGTTTGCAAACATACGTTTTCATGCTATTTTTGATGGATTCGCCTTAATATTCAGTAGAACAATTGTTACAAAACAATATTTAAAGGATCGTTTAGACAAGACAAAAGTGACGAATAGCTAGAGACAGAAAACAAAATGGGAAGGAGATATTGTGGTGTACAATCTTGTCAGAATTTTTTTGGGACATCAGATCGAAATGTCGGATTTTTCAGGTAAATTAACAACTGGATTTCCATGATTTTCACCATTTTTTTTCTCGTGAAAACATTCATTGTTATTCATCATTACAGATTGCCAGTTTACGAACCAGAAATTCTGGCTAAATGGAAGCAAGCTGTTAATCGAGAAACCCCAGGGAATTTTTTATTATGTAGCTTACACTTCAGACAAGAGGATGTTCTATGGAATAAGACGTATGTAAGATTGAGACCAGGCGCCTTTCCAATACCCGTTCCAAAGACTGTCAAGACAGAAATGTTAGTATGAACAGATGAAACTTGTGAAATCACAGTATTTTATTCCATTGTTTATTGTAACTGATTTCGACAATAGATCAGATGAACTTCCCAAAAATGAGCCTATCACAGATGAAGCTATTACAGAGTACTTTTCGACAGATGAACTTCCAACAGAGGAACCACACACAGAGCATGTGGAAATAATGGATATTGAAGCAAATGAAAGGTAAGTGTCCTCTTCATCATCTATCATGATTTATAAATACAATTATAAGAATATATTTTTATAGCCGTTTCAGTGCTTCAGATGAGCAAGAATTGTGTCAGTCGTGCATCAACTATGAAGTTCAATTACAAGCGGCTCATACGGAGATAGCGGTATTAAAGGAGAAATTGAACGAATTGACCGTAGAAAATAATATGATGAAGAGTCAAATTCGATCAATATCAACCAAATATTCAACGTGTCACATAATATCTACCATCCAAGAGCCAGAAAGTGTGACTCTTACGATTGAACCTGATCAACCGATTTCAATCGATGAAAAAATATTAAACGATTGTTCCGTGTTACCCAATTCTCTATTCAACGATGAGATGGATGGATCGTCCGTGAGTGAACCATCTGAAGAGATTAAACGATATAACAAATCAGTTGAAACAGTAACAGACGTATCTCTCGAACCAAGGCAGCCAACTTTTAAAAGTAAAAGAAACATTACCGCGTTACATTTCGTTGAAGATTTACCATAATCTCGTTAAAACACTTTCTCTCATTTTTCAGTGTTTCAATGCGGAAGATGTGACATCGCATTCGAATTAGCAGCAGAACTGGCTCGTCATATGACGGCATGTCATGATACAAAAACCATAATTGTCCCGCGCTTGCCAAAAGAAAAGACACGTGCTGTGAGAAAGAAAAAAGAAGGGAAGAGCTACCAGTGTCATTTGTGCAGAACGAGTTTCAGTACTTTCAACGGAGTTCGAGTACATATGAAACGCCATGAAAGAGACCAGAAATGCGAGATCTGCAAAATGGAATTAACTGCCAACGAGCTGAGTTCACATTTGTGTGGCGATGTGAAAAGCATTCTTTGTGATTACTGTCCGATCAAATTTACGGTTACATCGGAACTGGTAGAGCATTTGAAAAAGTCACATGAAAAGAGGAAACAATTTTATCGATGTGAAAAATGTTCGAGATACCTTCCCATGTTCGTTCTGAAAGAATTTCATATGAAATCACATGCTAGAGAACTCAAACCATTTGTATGCAAAGTCTGTCACAAGGATTTTGCTTCCAAATTACTTCTTAAGCTCCACGCCAAGAGACACGATGAGACAAAATGTTAGTTATTTGTATTGGAATAATATATGAGTAGTTTGGAGGGCAAATGTAATACAGAAAAGTTGAGCGGAAAAATGTCAAAATGAAAAGAGATAGCTATATAGTTCACTTTAATTTACTATACAGTTTACTATATAGCTATCCCTTTTCCGCTCATTCATCATCGACATTTTTCCGCGCAACTTTTCTGTATTACATTTTCGCTCTAAATAATCATACATGTTATCATTAACCTATGTATGTATCTAATCATCATTTCAACCTTTTTCTTTATTTTTAGCTCATCTCTGCGAAGAATGTGGCACAAGTTATGCATCATCACGGAATTTACTGCTTCATAAGAATTCGTATATCCATACGAAAGAGACACCCTTTCATTGTCCTCATTGTCCTAAGAAATTTTCTCAACGTAGCAATTTCAAAAGTCATATGGAAAAACATCAAGAGGATAAATACCCGTGCGAAATCTGCCAAACTGAACTTCTATCAAAGCGATCATTTGACAAGCATATGAGTTCGTAATCTACTTTAATGGTTAATTTATGTACAACTTCATTGACGGTAATATTATCTCTTTGTTACAGAGAGGCACCGACGAACAGAGGCCGACCGAAAGTTTGACTGCAAATTATGTCCTCGGAAGTTTTTTTCATCGCAAGCTGTGAGAAAACACCAGCAAGTACACATTGGCGTGAGATGTAAGGAATTAGCTTGATTTGACCACTTTGGGATTTTATTCCATTTACTTATTTTGACTTCATTTTTTAGCGTTCAGTTGTAAGTTCTGTGATGCAAAATATAAGTATAAAGGGGATTTGAACAAACATCTGAAGACACACATGGGAAACAAAATTCACGAATGTAAAAAGTGCTTCGAGCTATTCGAATATAAAGATCTCCTAAAACACGAAGACGAACATTACAAACAAGAAAAAGAAGCAAGCGAAATGAACGAGTGAAAGCGACATTTATACTGAAGTTAACAGGTGTTGATAAAACCAATGAATATGTATGAAATTAATAAAAAACGGGGACAAATGAAATAAATCCATTTTTTGTTTGCATTTAACTACGTTTGTGTTTCGGTTTGGCGCTTTTTCATTGACAGGAAAGAAGCATGATTGTTAGACGTAAACGTCAAACGAACTGTCAGAATACAAGTGATTGTTTGGCTTGAGTTTATTTGGTGCTGTTTTGGCTGTGAACACAGTTTATGTTCATGTTGTTTTCTTCAAAACACTGTTTGATGGATGCGTTATCAATATTTAATGAAACAATTAATTCAACGATATAAAAATGATAGTTTAGAGGAAAAACCAGATTAGTTACAATGAGAAAGAGATATTGTGGTGTAAATTCTTGTCCGAATTTTACTGGAACCGCAGACGAAAATGTCCCATTTTTCAGGTATGAAATTCATTCAATAGATTTTTATGATTTTCGTCGTTTTGTTTCATGTAAACATCCTACGAAATCATTCATTACAGATTGCCAATTTACGAACCGGAACTTCTGGCTAAATGGAAGCAAGCTGTCAATAGAGAAACCACAGGGACTTTTAAACTATGTGGCTCACACTTCAGACAAGAGGATCTTATAAAGAGTAGAAGGAATATAAGATTGAAACCGGGTGCCATTCCAATGCCCGTTCCAAAAACTGTCAAGACTGAAATGTTAGTATGAATGGTTGTAACTTGTAAAATCACTGCATTTTGTTTCATTGTTTATTGTAATTGGTTTCGATAACAGATCATATGAAACTATCATAGAGGAACCTCCCACAGTAGACTCTACTCTAGATGAACTTCCCACCGAGGAACCACACACAGAGCACGTGGAAATAATGGATATTGAAGCAAATGAAAGGTATTATCCTCTTTATTGCCGATTATGATATATTATAGATAGTTACAATTATATGAACCGTTTCAGTGCTTCAGATGAGCAAGAATTGTGTCAGTCGTGCATCAACTATGAAGTTCAATTGCAAGCGGCTCATGCGGAGATTACGGCATTAAAGAAGAAATTGAGCGAATTGACCGTAGAAAATAATATGATGAAGACTCAAATTCGATCAATATCAACCAAATATTCAACGTGTCACAGAATATCTACCATCCAAGAGCCAGGAAGTGTGACTCTTACGATTGAACCTGATCAACCGATTTCAATCGATGAAAAAACATTGAACGACTGTTCCATGCTATCCGCTTCTTTTCTCAGCGAAGAGATGGATGAATCATCGAGTGATGAGTCGCCGACAGCTTCAATGAGTGGACCATCAAAAGAGATTGAACAATACAAGGAATCAATTAGGACAGTGGACATAGCAGATGTGTCTCTCGAACCGAGGCAATCGACCCTAAAACGTAAAATACATTACTGCGTTACATTTTGTTGAATATTTGAATTTGTCGCTGTGTCTATCTAAATCGATGAAATATTTTCGCTCAATTTTCAGTGTTTCAATGCGGAAGATGTGACATGGCATTCGAATTGGCAATAGAACTGTCCCGTCATATAACGGAATATCATTCAATAAAAACAGTAACTGTCCCGCGTTTGCCAAAAGAGAAGACACGTGCTGCGAGAAAGAAAAAAGAAGGGAAGAGCTACCAGTGTTATTTGTGTAGAATGAGTTTCAATACTTTTTTCAACGGAGTTCATGTTCATATGAAACGCCATGAAAGAGACCAGAAATGCGAGATCTGTAAAACAGAATTAACTCTCAACGAGCTGAATTCACATTTGTGTGGCGATGAGAAAAGCATTCGTTGTGATTACTGCGCAGATGAATTCACAGCTACATCGAAGCTGGTAGAGCATTTGGATAAGTCACATGAAAAGGGAAAATTATTGTATCGATGTGAAAAATGTTCAAAATACTTCTCCATGTTCGCTCTGAAGGAATTGCATATGAAAGTACATGATAGAGCACCGAAGCAATTTGTATGCAAAGTCTGTCACAAGAATTTTGCTTCCAAATTGCTTCGTAAAGTTCACGTCAAGAGACATAATGAGACAAATTGTTAGTGTTTTGTGTTCGAATATTATATTTGAGCATCATTTCAATCATTTATAACATTAATTTTCCTTCATTTTTAGCTCATCTCTGCGAAGAATGTGGCAAAAGTTTTGGATCAGCACGTAGTTTACAGCTTCATAAAAGGGCGTATATCCATAACAAAGAGTTAATATTTCATTGCCCCCATTGTTCCAGAAAATTTTTTAATAGGCAAACTTTTAGTAGACATCGTGACAAACATCGAGAATTTAAATACGTGTGCGAAATCTGCCAAACTGAACATCCATCTAAGCAATCATTTGAAGCGCATATGAGTTCCGTAGTCTAAAGTAATTTCCAATGTATGCAGAACTTCATTAATGGCAATATTCTCTTTTTTAACAGAGAGGCACCACCGAAGAACAGAGGCCGACAGAAAATATGCCTGCAAATTATGCCCATTGAAGTTCTTCTCATCACAAATTTTGAAATCTCACCAGAAAGTACACACTAGCGTGAGATGTAAGACATTAGATCAATAATTCAATTGTGATTTTATTCCACTGAATCTATTTGACTTCAACTTTTCAGTGTTCAATTGCCAATTCTGCAACCAATCGTATAAGTATAAAGGGGATTTGAATAAACATCTGAAAACTCATATTGGAAACAAAATTCACAAATGCAAAAAGTGCTTTGAACTATTCGAATATAAAGATCTTCTAAAACACGAAGACGGACACTACCTAAAAGAAAAAGAAGCGAATGAAACGAACGAGTGAAGGCGAATTTTCATACTGAATTTGGACGATTTTATTAGCTAATGAACATGAATCAATAAAAAAGTTATAAAAAAAAACCATTTTTGTTTTACTTCAAATATAATCCCAATATTCGTGTTTCGGTTTGGCGGTTTTTCTTTGACAGAAGAGAAGCATGATTGTTTGACATGAACGTCAAACGAACTGTCAACGTAAAATTAATTGTTTAGTCTTTGTCTTGGTTTTATTGTAAACACAATATTTTCATGTTGTTTGTTCTTTGGTGGACTCTTCCTCATTATTTGATAAAACAATAACTATAAAGAGTTTTAAACGTTAGATAATTGGAGGAGAAGAAAAGTCTGAAATAATTGATACTTGGAAAAATGAAAAGATATTGTGGTGTAAAATCTTGCGAACATTATTATGGCACCACACGCTCGGACGTCCGATTTTTCATGTATGAAATCGTTTAAATCAAATATCCCATTTGTATCAATTCCATTTTTGCATTCACAATCAAATAACACGCCATGTGAATATTATCAGGTTACCAAGGACTGATCCAGAGCTGTTGGCAAAGTGGGTGAAAGCCGTCAATATAAAAGGAGGAACCATTTGTCGATTATGCAGTAACCATTTCAGAGATGAGGACATACGACGGACTGAAACAAAAATAACTTTGAAGAAAGGCACCGTTCCAATACCTGTTCCTGTGCCGAAGACCGAAACGTTAGTATAAATACTTGTAGCTTGTGATATTACTACGATCTGTAGTTTACATTATGTTTAAATTCATTGAATTTCATTGAATTTATTTTGTTCCGACAGATTGGAGGAACCTTCCACACAAGACCCTCCCACAGAGAACATAAAAATAATAGATATCGCAGAAATTAAAAGGTAATTATTTTCCAATCTTATCCATTGGTCGAAAGTCAAATTGAAACAAAAACCTAAAACATTTCAGACCTTCAGATCAACGGGAATTTTGTCAATCTTGCATTGATTATGAAGAACAACTGCAAGCGGCTCATGTAAGGATAGCGCAGTTGGAACAAAAACTAAGCAGATTGCAATTGGTCATTGAAAATAGAACGGTGGACAATCGAATTGGACAAGAATCACCCGAAGATTTTACTCATCTCGAAGTATCAAGAGACGATATCAAACTCGAAAAACAGGATTCCCCGATTGAACACGTTGAACTGGTTTCAATCGATGAAATAAAATCAAATAACTGTTCGATGTTGCCAGCTTCTTTGCTTAACGTTGAGATGGATGAATCATCGAGCGACGAGGCACCGGTAGGGCCAGTGAGCGGATCATCAAAAGAGATTGAACCAGATAACGAATTATTTGGAACAAAAAGCGTAACAGACGCAACTCTCGAAGCAGATCATTCAGTTCTCAAACGTAAAACATTACCACGTTTAATTTTGTCAAATATTCCCGATTTTCTCTGTCAAACTTGATAAAAGGTTTTCTTCAAATTTTCAGCATTTCAATGCGGAAGCTGTTATATGTCATTCGATTTGCCATGGAAATTAGGCAGTCATATAAGAAAAATGCATACAACACAATTCGCGTTGCCTAAAAAGAGTAGAAGTACCACCAGAAGGAAAAAAGAAGAGAAAAGCTTCCAGTGCTATTTGTGCCAAACGAGTTTCAGTACTATGAAAGAAGTTCGAGTTCACATGGAACGCCATAAAAGAGATCAAAAATGCAAGATCTGCAGAACAGCACTAACTGTCAACGAGCTGAATTCACATTTATGTGGCGAAGAAAGAAGCATTGGTTGCGAATATTGTTCAAATGAATTCACCATAACGGCAAAACTGTTAGAGCATTTGAAAACGGATCATGCAACGAAAAAGATGCATAAATGCGAAAAATGTCCAACATTCTTGGCAATGATTGCTCTGAAGGAATTTCACATGAAGTCACATGAGCTCGATGCACCGAAGCGATTTATTTGCGAAATCTGTTCCAAGGCTTTTGCTTCAAAACTACGTCTTAGAGGTCACATCGAGAGACACGATCAGATAAAATGTTAGTGATTTGTATTAGAATAACATAATTTGGCATCATTTCAATCATTTTCTATTACTTTTTAGCGCATCTCTGCGATGAATGTGGCAGAAGTTTTGCATCCGCACGGAATTTGGAGCTTCATAACTCAAGCATTCATATTGGAGAAAAGACAAAGACACTCCAGTGCCCAGAATGTCCCAAGACTTTTTACCAAATGAAATATTTAAAACTACATAGCCTAACACATCGAGAAGATAAATATGTGTGCGAAATATGCGAAGCAGAGCTTGTATCGAAGAAAGCACATGAACAGCATTTGAGTTCGTATCCTAGTGTAAATTCATAATTTATTCAACACTTTTTCAACGACACAATTTTTTTTTCTTCACAGGGAAACACAAAAGGACAGAGGCCGACCGAAAACATGCCTGCACGTTATGCCCACTGAAGTTCTTCGAATCGACAACATTGAAATCTCACCAGAAAGTACACACTGGTGTGAGATGTAAGAAATTGGCTTGATTTAACAATTTTCGGATTTTATTTCATTCAATCATTTTGTCTTATTTTTTCAGCGTTCAGTTGCAAATTTTGCAAGGCAAACTATAAATACTTAGGGGATTTGAACAAACACTTGAAGACTCATCTTGGGCCGAAAATTCATGAATGTCCAAAATGCTTTGAGCTATTCGAATACAAAGATCTCCAAAAACACGAAATCGAACATTACAAAGAAGAAAAACGAGCGAGAGAAATGAACGAGTAAAAGCGACATTTTTACTGAAACTAAATTCAAAGTTTTTATTACAATAGCGACTTAATGTGAATAGAGGAAAAAATAAAAAAAACAGAACATCATGATAAAATTTAAAGCAAATCGATTTTTGTTTTCGTTCAAGTATAGTCACAACGTTTGTGTTTCGGTTTTGCGGCTTTTCTTTGACAGAAGAGGAGTATGAATGTTTCATGTAAACGTCACACGAACTGTCAGAATATTTTGTTTTGGTTGTAAACACAATTTATGTAGTTTTCTTCGAAACGCTGTTTGGTAGACTCGTCCTCAATATTTATTAAAACATTTAATTTAACGATATCAAAACGATAGTTTAGAGAAAAAAATACCAGAACAGTTACAATGGGAAAGAGATATTGTGGTGTGAACTCTTGTCCGAATTTTTCCGGAAACTCAGATGAAAATGTCCGATTTTTCAGGTACGCAATAATTGGATTTCCATGATTTTCATCATGAAATCATTTATCTTGTAATCATCCATTGTATAATATCCATAAATATATTGCCGGAATACCAAAAGACAGCCAATGACATCTCTTAACCAACTTATTGAATCATATGATAATATCATTTATTACAGATGCCCAGTTTACGAGCCAGAAATTCTGGCTAAATGGAAGCAAGCTGTCAATAGAGAAAACACAGGGACTTTTAAACTATGTAGCTTACACTTCAGGCAAGAGGATTTTTGTGTTAATGGTCAGAGATTGAAAGCAGGTGCTATTCCAATACCTGTTACAGTGCCAAAGACTGAAATGTTAGTATGAATAGTTTGAAAAATCACTGCATTTTGTTTCATTGTTCATTTTGATTTGTTTCGTCAACAGGTCAGATGAACCACCCGTAGAGGAACCTCATACAGAGCATGTAGAAATAATGGATATTGAAGCAATTAAAAGGTATTACTCTCTTCATCTTCCGTCATCATTTATAGATATAATTATAAATTTACTTTTGAAAACCCCGTTTCAGTGCTTCAGATGAGCAAGAATTGTGTCAGTCGTGCATCAATTATGAAGTTCAATTACAAGCGGCCCATGCGGAGATTACGGCATTAAATAAGAAATTGAGCGAATTGACCGTAGAAAATGATATGATGAAGAGTCAAATTCGATCAATATCAACCAAATATTCAACGTGTCACAGAATATCTACCATCCAAGAGCCAGGAAGTGTGACTCTTACGATTGAACCTAATCAACCGATTTCAATCGATGAAAAAACATTGAACGACTGTTCCATGCTACCCGCTTCTTTTCTCAGCGAAGAGATGGATGAATCATCGAGTGATGAGTCGCCGACAGCTTCAGTGAGTGGACCATCAGAAGAGATTGAACAATACAAGGAATCAATTAGAACAGGGGGCAGAACAGATGTGTCTCTCGAACCGAGGCAATCGACCCTAAAACGTAAAAAACATTACTGCATTACATTTTGTTGAATATTTGAATTTGTCGCTCTGTCTATCTAAATCGATGACACATTTCAGAGTTTGACTCAGGCGACAGATATATGCTTTAGCATAGAAAAAATAACCGCATATTTTTTGGTTTGTCCACTCTCAGTATATAACGGCATCCAGCTTCATCGAGTATCAGCACGCACACTGAACGTGGTAGTATAGAACGGTTTGTTTACAAAGAAAAAAAATTGTTTATAAACAAAATCTTCCCGAGTTGTACAGTGCAATGTATTTGAACGGCAGCAATGCTGTCCTATGTTAAGGTTTTGCGCTGTATAGTTCTGGGAGATTTTGTTTATAAACAATTTTTTTCTTCGTAAACAAACCGTCCTATACTGCCACGTTCAGTGTGCGTGCTGATACTCGATGAAGGTGGGTGCCGTTATATACTGAAAGTGGACAAACCAAAAAATATGCGGATATTTTTTCTATGCTAAAGCATATATCTGTCGCCTGAGTCAAACTCTGAAACATTTTCTCTCAATTTTCAGTGTTTCAATGCGGAAGATGTGACATGGCATTCGAATTAGCAACAGAACTGTCCCGTCATATGACGGAATATCATGCAATAAAAACTATAATTGTTCACCGTTTGCCAGAAGAAAAGACACGTGCTGTGAGAAAGAAAACAGAAGGGATACGCATCCAGTGTTATTTGTGCAGAACGAGTTTCAGTACTATAAAAGAAGTTCGAGTTCATATGAAACGCCATGAACGAGTCCAAAAATGCGAGATCTGCAAAACGGAATTAACTCACAAGGAGCTGAATTCACGTTTGTTTGGCGATAAGAAAAGCATTCGTTGTGAATATTGTTCAATTTGAATCCACGATAACAGCAAATCAGTTAGATCATTCGGAAACGGTTCATTCACAGGTATTTTCAGATCGCAAACTTTGAAATCTCACCAGAAAGTATACACTGACATGAGATGTAAGGAATTAGCTTGATTCAAATATTTCAATCAATTATTTTGTATTATTTTTTCAGCGTTCAGTTGCAAATTTTGCTTGCAAACATATAAATACAAAAGGCGATTTGAACAAACATTTGATGACTCATCTTAGGCCGAAAATTCATGAATATCCAAAATGATTTGAACTTTTCGAATCCAAAGATCTGAAAAAGCATGAACTCGAACACTTCAAAGGAGAAAAAAGAGCGACAGAAATGAACGAGAAAAAATACAATAGCGACTGAATGTGAATAGGAATAATATAAAACAAAAAACTTTATAATTAAATAGGAAAATCCTTTTTTGTTCTTATTCAAATATAATCCCAACATTCGTGTTAAGGTTTGGCGGTTTTTCATTGACAGCATAGCAATATACTTGTTTGACATAAACGTCAAACAAACTGTCAACGCACAAATGATTGTTTTGATTGTGAACGATTGTGAACACAATATTTTTAGGTGGTTTTCCACGAAACGCATTTTGGTGGACTCGTCCCCAATTTTCAGTGAAAAAATTAGTAAAAGTTGCAAGGTGACAAAACCATTCAGATTTACGAGTGTTTATATCTGAGTGAGGATGTCGTGCATAATAAAAAATTGCAATTCAACATACAAAAATGCTACATTATTTGGGTAATTTCTGTGATAATTTGAGATGTATTTCATTATGAACTGAAAATAAATACTAATATCTTGCTTTGGATAAAATATCATCCAAGTATTCCAGTCAGCGAAGACGCCCGAACAAAATGGATAGAAGCAATTGCGCGGCACCAGCCATTCTATGAAAATGGAACGAGTATACAGTTAGTGTGCGTCAATCACTTTCAGCCCAATGAAATCTTGCCTGGAATTCGTAAAAGAATATCTCCATCTGCAGTACCAAGCATTTTTCCGTTAGTACAAGTTATAATTGAAATCGCATCATGATTTGCACATCCAAATAACAACATTTCCATTTTCGGCTACGAAATTGAATGTCGATTGAATTTGATTTTAGAGCCAAAGCTGAGATTGCACCAGTAAATACTGGTCAACACATCCGGCCAAACATATTGAAACGGACAATACCATCAATCGGCCCAGCGACAAAGGTTATAAAACTCAAACAATCTCCACAGAACAATGTGCTAAACGGCCAAATGTAAGTAAACTTCATCGATATCATCATGTGTGTTTACTTCACTATGTCATTTCCCATTTTATTCTGCATATTATTCGTTGATATGAAAGAAGGAAACAGTTTTAGTTTGTGCAATTCCCATTTCAGATATGGAGATTCTTCCAAACAAGACCCTCCCACAGAGAACATAAAAATAGTAGAAATTAATAGGTAATTATTTTCCAATCGTATCCATTGGTCAAAAGTCAAATTGAAAAAAAAATTAAAACATTTCAGACCTTCAAATCAACAAAAAATTTGTCTATCTTGCATTAAATATAAAGTACAACTGCAAGCGGCCCATGCAAAGAATGCGTTGTTGGAACAAAAATTGAGCAGATTGCAATTGGCCATGGCCAATCAAAATGGAACGGTGGACAATCGAATTGGACAAGAATCACCCGAAGATTTTACTCATCTCGAAGTATCAAGAGACGATATCAAACTCGAAAAACAGGATCCTCCGATTGGACATGTTGAACTGGTTTCAATCGATGAAATAAAATCAAATGACCTTTCAATGTTGCCCACTTCTTTGCTCAACGATGAGATAGTTGAACGATACAACGAATCAATTGAAAAAGTGGACTTAGCAAACGTGTCTGTCAAACAAGAGCAACGAATTCTCAAACGTAAAACATTACCACGTTTAATTTTGTCAATTATTTACATTCATCACTTTCAAACCCGTTGAACCATTTGCTTCACATTTTCAGCATTCCAATGTGCAAGATGTGATATGTCATTCGAATTACTAAAAGAATTACGTCATCATGTAAAAGAAGTACATGAAAAAAAAGTCAAACCCAAACGCAAGCGAAAACCTAAGCTCAAACCTATCCAGTCGTTGCCTGAAAAGACAACTATTTCTGGAAGAAAAAAATTGAGCCGTCATGTAAGAGAAGTGCACGAAGAGAATAGAAGTACCACCAGAAGGAAAAAAGAAGAGAAAAGCTTCCAGTGTTATTTGTGCAGAGCGATTTTTAGTACTGCTAAAGAACTTCGAGTTCATATGGAACGCCACGAAAGAGACCAAAAATGCGAGATTTGTAAAACAGAATTAACTCTCGACGAGTTGAGTTCACATTTGTGTGGCGAAAAAAGAAGCATTGGTTGCGAATATTGTTCAAATGAATTTACGATCACATTGCAGCTGGTAGAGCATTTGGAAACTGCCCATGAAAATAAAAAACTGTATAAATGCGAAAAGTGTCCAATATTCTTTGCATCGATTGGTCTGAAGGAGTTTCACATGAAGTCACATGAGCACGATGCACCGAGGCCATATGTTTGCAAAGTCTGTTCCAGGGCTTTTGCTAAAAAAATTCTTCTTAGATATCACACCGAGAGACACACCAAGATAAGACGTTAGTAATTGGTATTAGAATAAAATAATTCTGCATCATTTCAACTTCAATCAATTTCTGTTCTATTTTAGCTCATCTCTGCGATGAATGTGGCAGAAGTTTTGCATCCGCACGGAGCCTAGATTATCATAAGAATTTAGAACATAATGAGAGGTCACATGTTGATAATGAAAAACGGACACAGGTAATACAGTGTCCAGACTGTCCAAAGACGTTCTTCCAAATGGACGCTTTCAAACGACATAACGTATCACATCGAGAAAATAAAGATAAATACGTTTGCCGAATCTGTCAGGCGGAACTTCAAACGAAGAAATCATACAGCAAACATATAAGTTTGTATTCTATTGCAATTCTCAATTTACCTAATTATTTATTGATGACAATATATTATTTTCTTCATAGGGAAGCATCAAAGAACAGATGCCGACAGAAAATATGCCTGTCCGTTATGCGATCGAAAGTTCTTCTCATCAAATCATTTGAAATGTCACCAGAAAGTACACATTAGCGTGAGATGTAAGGAATTGGCTTGATTTAACAATTTTCGGATTTTATTTCATTCGCTTATTTTGTCTTCTTTTCTTAGCGTTCAGTTGCAAATTTTGCAAGGCAAACTATAAATACAAAGGGGATTTGAACAAACATCTGAAGACTCATCTTGGGCCAAAAATTCATGAATGTCCAAAATGCTTTGAGCTATTCGAATACAAAGATCTCCAAAAACATGAAATCGAACACTACAAAGAAGAAAAACGAGCGAAAGGAGAGTGTTAGTGTTCAGTAGAGGTTGAATGAGTTGAATTTTTCTCAAAGTTATTTCTTCAAGAGTTTAAAATGTTTTTAAAATAAAAATTGGCGCGACGAGTAAAATAAAAGAATATTATGGAATTTTGTTTTGCAAGGAAATTGTTTTCATTACCTATGTATGCGGATGTCAAATGTATTTTTCAAAAATGAAAATAATAACATTTTAACCAAAAATAATAAAAACAACCCGAATTAAGTCCGAATTTTGTCATTAAAAAGCGCTTTCCCGTAATTCCAGGCGGTTGATATACACACTACAACGCTTTTGACACATGCCACACTAATGTCAAACGTTGCAAAGTGACAGAACCATTCAGAATTACGAGTGTTTATATTCGAGTGAGGATGTCGTGCATAATAAAAAATTGCAATTCAACATACAAAAATACTACATTATTCGGGTAATTTCTGTGATATTTTAAGATGGATTTCATTGTGAACTGAAAATAAATACTAATATCTTGCTTTGGATAAAATATCATTCAAGTATCCCAGTCAACGAAGACGCCCGAACAAAATGGATAAAGGCGATTGAGCACCACCAACCATTCGATGATAGTGGAACGGGTGTACAGTTAGTGTGCGTCAATCACTTTCAAGACAATGAAATCTTGCCTGGAATTCGTAAAAGAATATCTCCATCTGCAGTACCAAGCATTTTTCCGTTAGTACAAGTTATAATTGAAATCGCATCATGATTTGCACATCCAAATAACAACATTTCCATTTTCGGCTATGAAATTGAATGTCGATTGAATTTGATTTTAGAGCCAAAGCTGAGATTGCACCAGTAAAGACTGGTCAACACATCCGGCCAAACATATTGAAACGGACAATACCATCAATCGGCCCAGCGCCAAAGGTTAGAAAACTCGATCAATCTCCACAGAAGAATGTGCCAAACGGCCCAATGTAAGTAAACTTCATCGATATCATGTGTGTTTACTTCACTATGTCATTTCTCATTTTATGTTGCAGTGAGAATAGTTTGGTCGGAAAGAAGGTGAGGTTAAATATTGGAAGTCTGAGAACTATGGCATCATTTGTCGGTGTCACCAAGGTGCCAAATGCAAGCACATCGTAAGTTGACGGAAAATATTCAACCGATATTTCCACACCGAAAATCGAGTGTACTCATCACGTGTGATGAATCAAATATTTCCTCCGATTTATATTGATGGATAAACATTTTCATTCATTCTAAAATTGGTTTCAGACTCGCAGCACCTGTACAACTTCCAGCACGAATTTCAAACGGTACAATTCAAACAATGACACTATCAAGTAGTCTAGGTATAGGTCAATTTACAGATTTACATTTTCGATATGTTATTAATATGTTATTGCCCGACATATTTATTATTATGTTTTGTTGGGATTTTTTTTTATCTGAATAACGTTATTAAGATTCAGCATAATAATAACATAATATGTTATGCGTTATATCGGGTGTTATCTTAATAAATCCTAAGATTTGGCGGTAGTAACATTTTATTAACTATAATAATAACATATTATTAAGATGCAATCTTAATAGCGCTTTTGTCGCGCATTCTTTTCCCTAGCTGGAGAGAGAACAAGCACTGTACGGTGTACACACCTATAACTTTAAAATTGATCCTTTCAAGGTCGGGTAAATTGATCCTTTCAAGGTCGGGACTGGCGATTTCCTAAAATTAATGGTTAAGTTCAATACATGATAATTCCGTTTCAAAGAGTCATTTTAATTTCATTACAACAGTGCAAAAATTCATATGTGTACTCCGCAGTGAAAAAACAACTTGTCAGTGCTCCGGTGAAAAAAATGCGCGAAAAAAGCGTTATTAAGATTGTATCTTAATAATATGTTATTATTATAGCTAATAATATATTATTAGCGCCGAATCATAGGATTTATTAAGAAAAATCCAACATATTTCGTAACATATTATGTTATTATTATGCTGAATCTTAATAACGTTATTATTATGTTATGTTGGACCAATATATCGGCCGTTATTATTATGTTATTAAGTATAGTTAATAATATGTTATTGCCTGTAAATCTGTAGGTCAATTATCACCGTTTGGGAAAAAAATTCGAATTATTGTACCCAAGAAAAGTGTCCATTCAATTCCAAAAGTATCGCCTGGTGTGCAGGACAGTGAAAAATTCAACCCTTTGCAACCGATTGCAGATGAAACATCTCCGGAAGATAACATTTTCGAACAGCCGAGGTAAGAAAAATTGAGCGCAATTTTAGCAATGGAAGACATTACGTTCCTATATTTATTTCACAGTTCAAGTGAGCCCATCGGACAACGACTGAAACTAGTTGACATTGACAAACTTAAAGAAACACCAATTTCATCCGAAGCGGAAAACAAATCGAACGTTTTATATACGTGAGTTAATTGTGTTTTCTTCAATCAAATCAAAAAGAAGTAAAGTAAAAAGGTTCAATCTTCTTCCAAATAGAACAAATTGCTCGAATGAAGTTTGTCTCAACAAATTGTATCTTGCCAACGGTAGAGTGACGATTCTGGAAAAAACCATTACAAAATTGCGGCTTCACAATGCAGTTTTGAAACGAGAACTTGCCAAGAAGTCAAACACATCTGCAGGCAATGCATCTGCTGCAGCTAAAACGCCAACCAAAATGAATCAGCAATCCATTATGAAAACATGTTGTGAGTAAATTATGATGCATGTACTAAGCTATTTTCGATTGATAAATCAATTTCATTTTTACAGTTTTCAAATGTGCAAAATGTGCGGCATCATTTGAAAAACCGTTGGAGCTGAATAAACATATACATCACGTACACGTTCGATTGGAAGATAATAAATGCTATAATTGCGGAAAAAGGTTCGTTGGAACTGCACAATTGGAGGCGCATATTCATAAAGTGCATAGGGATATATTCGAATGTAAAGTTTGTCATCCAATGCTGAAATATCTGCAAGAATATCATATAGCACACGAAACACACGCCAAGACTGTGGATGCAGCTGCCAAGCCGCCTCAAGCGTTGAATAATTGCCCTGAAATACCTCGTTTCGAATGCTATATTTGCAAGGATGAAATAAACAGCATTACTGCTCTACAAACACACATGGAACAACATGAAAAGAACCAAAAATGCCAAATCTGCAAAGCAAGTCTCACACTCATCGAACTTAACAATACTCATTTGTGTGGCACGGAGAAGAGTATTACATGTGAATATTGTGAGGAGTCATTTACATCGACAATGAAGCTGTTGGAACATCTGAAAACACCGCACGAGAAAAAGAAATTATATGGCTGCCATAAGTGTTCCAAGTATTTCCCTCAATTGAATTTGCGCCACTACCACATGTTTCTACATGAAAATGAAGAAGGAAAAGACGATGACGGCTCACTGAGAAGATATACGTGCAAAGTTTGCGACAAAGGATTTGATAACTACGATCATTTTTACAAACACCGAAAGTCTCACAGCAGTCCCACAAAAAAAACAAGAGATCACCTTTGTGAAGAGTGTGGAATGAGCTTCATGACCGTACAAACTTTGAGAGCCCACAAGATGTCCAGCATTCATTCGAAAGAACCAACGTTTCAGTGTTCCGATTGCCCGCGAAAATTCTACAACAAAATACATTTGCATCGACATGCTCAGAAACATGAGAATATCAAATACGTGTGTGATATTTGTAATAGGGAACTTCGATCAAATATGTCATATAAGAAGCACATGAGTTCGTGTCATTTTCATCTTTTCGTTTGTTTTTAACCTTTTTTGTACGTCTAAAAAATGCTTTACTTTAAATTATAGGAAGACATAATCGTACAGAGGCGGACAGACGGCATGAATGTCAAATTTGCCACATGAAATTCTACGAACCGAAGGCCTTGACCAAACATAAATTAGTACACAACGGACACCGGGGTAAATGATTAATTTATAATGACAGATTGTGATAGAGATATATAGTGGAATCATTCTGTTTTTCTTTTTAGCTCATTCATGCCAGTACTGCGATTGCTCGTATAAATACAAGGGCGACTTGAACAAACACCTTCGTATACATTTAGATGGTAAAATACATCAATGCACCATGTGTGATGAGAGTTTTTACTATCCAGAGGATTTGCAAGAACATATATATGACCATTACAAAAAAGACAAGGCCAACCGAGCGGCGGAAGGAACGGCCGAAGGTAATGCGGAGGCCGATAGCAAGGAGGAGAAGAATGACGAAAAAGAGAAAGACGATGAAGAGAATAATGATTGCGTCTCGAACAATATATTGGTATCATCTGTTTCCCTTAAACCTAGTTTTATACATGAAAATGTACAGCTTTGGAACTGATCATGGCCAAATTCAATGGAGAATGGTGTCTTTCCATGAATATTTACTGATTTTCATTACATTTAAGAGCATTCTAGGCACTCCGTTGATCAAATGATCCAGTCGATTTCGTGTGGTGTATTTTGACACTGCACAATACTTACATTTCAAATTTCACTATGCCAAAAAAAAGTTTTGTTTTCTGTTAAACAAATTCTATTTCACATCTAGCTCATGTAGATTACACATTGGCTTCATTGAACACTATTTTTTATATGACATCTGACTATAATAAAAGACTTTGATATTCCGTTTCGTTGTTTATTTTAAATCGTTTGTCTTTTCCATTCAACAAAATCCCATTATAGAATCACTAGTTCGATCAAGTTTTTGAATCCTTCCTTTTTCTCAGGTCGATAGCTGAAAAGGAATTTACCTATTATTTTGTGGATTTGTATTTTTTATAAAATTAGACACTTACAATGAACTTGCAGTGAGTGTTTATTCAAGTTTGGCCAATTGGTGCTTTTGTAATCGCAGTGATTGCAGACGTATGGTTTTTCCGATGTGTGCGTTCGTTCATGAGTCTTCAACGAGCCCGTATATCGGAATTTCTTTTCACAATATTTACACGCATATGGGAAAATATCGTTATGGCTCCGCATGTGAACATTCAAATTAGACGTGTTCCGGAATCTTTTTTTACATATATTGCACTCCACTGGCTTGGAATCGTCATGACGCTTGAAGTGTTTTTCCATCTGCGCTTTTGTTTTGAATCTAAGAAAAAAACACTTTGTTAGCTGTGGTAAACACGGTAGAATAATGACACGATAGAACCTACCTTTTATCACATTGTTTGCAGCTGAACGGTCGAATGTTGCCATGTGTGGTCACCAGATGATTTGACAAATTCCCTTTTATCGAAAAATGCCGACGGAATATCATTTGTATAAATAATGCTTACAAAATATGCATGAAAAACAACAAAGAAAAAAAATAAACTTAATAGCTTTACCTTTTGTGCGGAACTTCCAACCGCATTGATCGCAAACATAGTCGAATTGTTCTACAAATACATGAATTAGAATTGAACGAAAATAATCATAAAGTATCCAATTTTTGTCTATAACTCACGTGTATGTTGCAGCAAATGAGTTTTGATACTCGTTTTAGTTGCACACACCTTATGACATAAATCACAAGTGTATGTTGCATCCACATCAACATATTTCCGATCGAAATGTCTTTGTGCAACGTGTATGTACAAACTGTCACGAGTCCAGGTACTTTTGCCGCATTGTTCACACTTATACTCAATATCTTTGTGTAGATTTCGATGCTTTATCAACTCTGCCTCATCCCAAAAGTAATCGGTGCAATAGAAACAACTGAAACCGAATAAATCAAATTGAATTGATTCAATTTCAAACTGATTGAGTCGAAAACTTACCTGAATTTCAAGTGTGGAAAATGTTCTTCCGCGATATGCCGATGGAGATTAAATTCCCGTTTGTACTTCGAGTCGCAGTAGACGCAAAAGAAATCCATCGAATGTGTTTCCTCCCAATGCATCGATCGAACGTGTGTCCATAATTTTTGTGGGCCGTTGAAAATTCGTGCACATTTGGTACATTTGTACTGACAGTCGTTCCATGTCATGGTGCTCATGTTTGGAAACAATTCTTTCAGCTTAGCTACACCATTTGCGCTGATTGTTCCATCCGAACAACGGTCCTCATCGGGCAATGCAGCTACGAATGGATCGAAATCTGGAATTTTATTCACAGCAGCCTTTTTTGTGGATTTATTTTGACGTTTCGTGCGTTCGTTAATACAATTTACGTCAATGTTGTTCCAGTCAAGAGGTTTTTGTTCAGTTTTTTTCGAATTTGAGGGCAGTTTAGATTTCTTCGTTGCTTTCTTTGACTTCTTCGTTGGTTTCTGGTGTTTATCCTTCTTACTTTTATTTGAATGCAAACTTTCGGTATCTGATCCACTGATTGGATTATCGAATGTACCGGAATCAAAGTCGTATTCAAACTGTTCCAATCCTATATATTCTGTATATGTCTCCACTTTTACCATTGCGGACGATATCTCTTCAACGTGTGACATAGGATCAGGTTCAGGTTCAGGTTCATTTGAAACCATTTCTCTCGTAAATTTATGGAACTGCTGTTGAGCTGCACTCACCTTTTCAGCGAAAGACCAACTCCTTTGAAGCTCATCAACACATAGTTTGCATGCCTTTTGCGGTAATCGCTCTTCATTTTCTGATGATTTCCAATCGCAACACAGCCGTAACTTTGGCTCTAATTCGGAGATTTCTGTTGATATTTCTACACCAGTCACGCAACTGGCACACAAACGACATAAAGATAACATTTTGCCTATTTCTTTCAATTTATTCCTTTATTTTAATTCCATATTTACTGAACTGTTCGAAGAAGAATATTTTTTTGTTTACGAATTAGATTTGACGTTTAAAGTGACATTTCAATGACAGCTGTGTTCAACACAGTGTGTTGTAGCTGCTTGTGGTACAGAATTTGAAACAATGTAACAAATAAATACAGGGAAATATTGTGTGTTACGCAGACAATTGATTCTATTTGGAAAATTTACTTTTCTTCTACATTATTGTGAATTTTATTGTATCTTGGAAATTAAATATAATTTTTCTACAGCCTATAGAAGCACCTTAGAAAGAAAGATGGCAACAAATGTCAATGACGATATGGGAAATGGATTTTGTCCCAAAATATCTCTCTAATTCAAAACAATTGAAATGAAATGAAATAAATGTGATTGCTTTGCCAATTCTGTTCAGCGATGAAACAACTCCGTTTTGATTAATGGAAATTAGGAATCCTTTTTTGTTCTTAAATCGATGGCTAAAAAAAGGACATTCTTCATTATTTTCTTTTGTTGATTTCTTCTCCTGAATTATTGTTATACTCACAATGAATTCGCAATGAGTGTTTGTTTAAATTTGGCCAATTGGTGCTTTTGTAGTCGCAGTGATTGCAGGCGTATGGTTTTTCCGATGTGTGAGTTCGCTCATGAGTTTTCAACGAGCTCGTGTGTCTGAATTTCCTATCGCAATATTTACAAGTATACGGACAGATGTTGTTGTGAGATCGCATGTGCACGGTCAAATTATACATTTGCCGAAATCTTTTATCGCATATCGTACACTCCAGTGGCTTGAATTCCTCGTGACGTTTCGAATGATTTGCTAGTTGATGCTTTGTCTTGAATCTACGGTTTGGTGACGAAATAATGAAAACATAACTTAAATTTCCCATTCTGAGTGATAATTGATGAATTATGATGGAAATTACCTCCCATCACATTTTGTACAGGCAAACGGTTTTTCATTGGTGTGCGTTGTCTCCAAATGGCCTTTAAGATTCCCTTTATCAAAAAATGCCGACGGAATACCATTTGTATAAATATTGCTTACAAAGTATGCATGAAAAACAAAAACAAAATAAACTTAATAGCTTTACCTTTAGTAAGAAATTTCCAACCGCATTGATCGCATACGAAATCGAATTTCTCTACAACACAAAATGATTCCTTTTACAAATTGATCACAAAAATGCAATTTTCATTCCAACTTACTGGTATGCTGCAGCATATGACTCTTGATGCTCCATTTCGTGGCGAAATCTTTGTTGCATATCTCGCATGTGTATTTCGTCGATTCTGGGTCGCCCCACTTCTTCTTCAGATGTGACTGTGCGATGTGTGAATACAAGATGTCGCGATTGTAAAACAATTGGTCGCACAGTTCACACTGGTATTTCACATCCTTGTGCATATTACGATGTTTGATCAGCTCAGCATCATCCCAAAAGTAATCGCTGCAATAGAAACAGCTGAAACCATTCAAACGGATTTAGTACAAAAGCATTCGAATCATAACTTTTACTTCGAAATTTACCTGAATTTCAGATGTGGAAAGTGTTCTCCTGCAATATGTCGAGTGAGATTATATTCCCGCCTATGTTTGGAGTCACAATAGAAACAAGAGAATGTCATCGTTGGTACTGCTTCCAAGTGAAGCGAACGATTGTGAGCGAAAAAATTCTGTGGGCTTTTGAATGATCGATTGCATTTTTCGCATTTGTACTGGCAACTGTTCCACGTCATGGTTTTCATTTCGGGAAACAATTTCTCAAGTTTGGCAACGCCATTTACACTGATTGTACCATCGGCGAGACAGTCTTTTTCCGCTAACGCAGCAAGGAATGGGTCTGATTTCGGTTGTAAATTCTCGGTAACCCTTTTAGACGATTTCTTCTGTTTTCTTGTACTTTTGTTTGAATGCGAACTTTCCGCATCCGATTCAATAACAGGACAATCGAATGCCGTAACATCGAAATTCGGCTCAAGCACTTCCAGTTCAGTTGAACAAATATCTGGTTCCAATTTTATTTCCATTGAGGTTACCTCTTCAATGTGTAGCTGCGGTTCGTCTGCATTTGTTGAATTTAGTTCACTCGCAATTTTATTCAGCTGTCGCTCGGCCTCACATACTCTTTCGGCAAAACTCCAGCTTTGTTGTAGTTGGCCCACACATGAATTGCATGCATTTTTTGGGAATTGCAGTTCATTTTCTGATTGCTTCCATCCACAACACAGTGTCAACTTGAATTCTAATTCAGATATTAGAGTGATTAATTCTGTTGGTTCCGTGTACTTTGCGCAGAGACGACATAGACGAAACATTGCGATTAAATGTTTATAATTGACTTTCAGATGTGTTTGTAGAGAGAATTTTTTTTCTTTTTGTTTACAAACTCAATTTGACGTTTCTTTGTGTCTGACGTTTCGTTATTGACAGTTGGTTCACGGGTTGCCGCCGCTCAAGTCATATCAAACGAGTTTTTTTTTAATCATTTTTGAAATACACTTTATTCAGTTGCGAAAAAAATAAACAATGCATTCATCATTTTTATTCTGTTTATGGAAAACTAAATTATTTTCATTGCCAGTGTTTTTGCCAGAACAGAGTAGACTAATTAAACCATTTATGATTTTTTATCAAACTATAATTGTAAACGATATTTTCAATGTTATTTCAATAAAAATTGAATTGGAATTTATTACCATGAATTGTCGGTTAATTTCGATTTTTTTCTTTTCACAATTCCATTTTTCTTGATTGATTAATTTGCTCATTGCATGTCTGTCTTCCAACGAATACATTTCGTTTAAACCAAACTGATAAGAAGATTTAATTTGAATAAAACATTATTTTAAAATACATGCGATAGACCAATATAATTTCGTTAGCGCGATAGAAAATAATATCCAATCTCCAGTGTCCTTCGTTGATAATCGATGGAATTTTTCGGTTATCAAATAAATAGTTGCGCATCCAATAGTGACCCTATATTAGAATGTAAACGAATTAATTGCAAGTACGCTGAATATAAGGGAATGGTTACCTTTTTAATGGGGCAATTTGTTTGATTTGCTTTATAAAGGTTAGTACTGTTCTCGTTGGCTTTCGTGAACATGAATCCATAGAGTTTTTTCAATCCTTTACATAACGATGATTTATATCCGATGATAGATTTCGTATATTGATTGTTGTTGAATCGGTTATACCAAAATGAGGCTTCGATAGACATTTGGTCATCGAAATCAATCAAAAATTCGATATCCAGGTTGACAGTGTATGTGGTACGATTTGTTTTCTTTATACGGTACATCGAACAGTTGTAGAATCCATCATTGAATGATCCGTTCAACAACTCAACACGATCGAAGAAAAGCTCATAAGAAGTCACAGTTTGGCCGTTCAAAATGATGAAGCCAATTAGAAAAGCCCCAAAAATTAATTTCATTTTTCTTCACTCGCGGTTGAACTTCAACAACTTTGACAACAAAACTGGAATGTTGCTAAATAGTCGTTTCCATCATGCTTTATATAGCGAAAATTTTTGTGACGAATTTGAAATTTTCTTGTGACCTTATATGACATTATAGTTTTGCCATAATAAAACAATAGATGCTGAGGGTCCTATAAATTTATATGGCGAACAGCAATTTGGGCTCAAACTTATATCAAATAGATCTCTATTTCATATCCTGCATTCATTTCCTGTGCCTTGATATGATTTATTATCAATATTATTGATGATTGTTGAATAGAGATACATTTTTGTTACAAATTGACAATACGTCTTGTTGTTCTACCATGATGATCAAATGCCAGTGATAGACTACCATCGAAATTATACAATTTGATAGCACTCGTATGAAACTCCATATAAATAATATAATAATATTCTTATCCAGTATTAATTCAATATTTTCGGTATCATGACTCTGGGTAAAAAAAGGAAAAGAATTGTTATTCTCTTCGGCGATTCTAACGTGTGAGCCGTATGACAATCAGAATACGTAGCGATGTAAAAAAGGGGCGCATCGTCAATAAAAAAGATCCATAAATAAATAATTCACATTTGTTATTGGCATTCTGGCGTATACACGCAGATCCAAGGTGATTTTAAAAACAAACGTGAATATGTCACGAACGATGCGATGTGATAACAGCAAAAAGTGGTGAACTTAGTTAGACGAACATGTTTTCGATTGGATGTGATAAAAAACTAGCAAGCAAAAAAAATACACACACACACATCAACAAATGGTTCTTTTTATAATCAAGAATCTTCACTGAAAATCCCTAGCCATTTTTACCCATTTCCATTGAAACGTGCATGCGCTTCTGAATGCAATTTCAATGGTCTTCTCATCGAACCAGACATAAATAAATATGTGGGCTTTTTTTGCTCTCATGCGCATGAACATGCCATCACGTGCTCAATTCAAAGTCTTAAGTCGATGACAAGAGGGAGAGAAAAACGCGGAAATCAATCAACGATTGTGTGCGGTACACACAATCAGAAAATAAGTCAATTCCCAATTATATAAATAAATATGATGTTGCGTAAATAACATTTTGTCTAAGCCAACACTTTTTTCCATCTCCTTTCTTCTCTCTCTCCCTCTCTCTCTCTCTCTCTCTCTCTCTCTCTCTCCGCATTTCAATCTCTTTCGTCGTATTTCAATCGTGCGATCTGCGATCGTCATCATCGGTGTTCTGCGCCGCATCAACAACTAGAAGCTGTGTATGCAATTACAATTAGTTTTAATTAGACGATCGCACTGTTTTTCTGAAAGAAAGAAAAAACCAGGAGATTTATTTTATTAATTAGACATTTTGTTTGGTTAATTGTTTTTTTTCCTCTTCTATCCAGCAGCAGCAGTCAAGATTGATTTTTCAGTGTGGTTGTGAATGCATTCACACGATTGGGCCACATGTGATGTAGAATAGTTGCCACAAACAAATAGGTGCTGCTTAACATAAAAGAATGTTTTTTTTGTATAATATCGTTGCATTGTGTTCAAGTGTTTACATTTTCTCTTGTCAGTTATGCTACTGTGCGTGTATATTGGTATTCGCCATCACATCAATCAATTTGTACCGAAGCTCAATTCAAGAATTGGAGGGAGCAAAAAAAAACGGTACAAGGTAAATAAATATTGTTGAAAATGCTGGCGTTCGGTATGAACGCGCACACACACACACTGATTGTTTTATCTTTGCTATTTATGGCGACGGGAAGAGAAGAATACCGATGACAGTGATTGAATGATATTACAGCAACCGCGCAAACTACGATACACATGAACATAATCAGCAAAAAAAAGAAACCAATCAATACACGAAAATTAAATGCCAATGTGACATAATTTCCAATGACATATTATTTGTTCGGCAATCGATGTGTTCGCTTCTCTCTCTCTGTGTGTGTGTTTGTGGAATGACTCCAACGCCAATCAATGGTTTCTGAACTTCTTACGACACATCAAACGATGAGCGTTTTTCTTTGTCACTGCAGCTTTTTTCACCATGACTGAACTAAGCGCACAAATAGTGACAAATTCCGCAAATCATTGAAGATTAAACATTTTCGCAATTTTCATATTAATCGTCCGATGTATTAATTCTATTGAATGAACATTTGCCGCACATTCTCTGAATTATTTATTACCATTGCTCATTCAATATTAATTCCCATTGACACCCTGAATTTTTCTTTCCAAGAAATCGTCTTTTGCACCTCAGGCAATCGACTATTTCCTAAACACATTGCCTCCATTTGTTTTTGTTTTGTGTCCACAATTCTGTAATTTGCATTTGAAAATTATTCAATTTGTAAGCTGAGAAAGCAAATTATTATTATTATTCATTGGAATTGTACGTATATTTTAACAAAGTCATCCTGTCACTGTGTCATCGGCGATGGAAATGTGTCTGTGTTGGTTCGTGAATACGGTTACAATTAGATGAACACAATGAAATTTTCCCATTTAAATAATAAATATGCGGAATAATTGAATATGAATCGATGGTACCCATGTAATTTTTCATTGAATCTAACTGAATGGGATTAACACGTTTGGAATTTTCATCGCCATCGGCAATATTCTATCGATTAAATTAATAGAGTCTAAATATATTCATAGACGCACTAAGTAAATGCGATAAAAGAAAAGAGAAAACGCCCAATTGATTTATATGTCTCTTGTCGTGCGGTTAAACGATGATTTTTTTCTTCTTCGGCTGTTTGCATCTTCTGTTCGTCGTCTGTTGTTGTTTGTGTCGATCGCTTGCGGTTCTGAATTAGTTTCATGTGTATATATAGTGCAATGGGCGATCGAATGTGATTTTCATAGAGTGGAGAGAAATAAAAACACAACAAATAATTTCTCCGTATTCTCTTTAACCTAGCTATTTTTTCATTAAGGTGGCGAGCTGTTGTAGTCTTAATAATATGGTATTTGGCGTCTTCGTGTGCGTGCCTCCTCTAGATCCGAACGCAGCCCTTACAGCGTGATCAAGCGTGCAATTATGTCGGCGATATGCATAACAATGCGAACGATGCAATTGAAATTCAATTCATTTTAACTTTGCACAACTTTTATCACCATGTTATCGATCCAAAAATAGTCATTCGATGTGAGTTTTTTTTACCTCTGTTATTGTTATTGTGGCCAATCGATGTTTGAGCTGGATGTCATGTCCGTTTAATATTTATTGTAATTAAATGCATATGACTTTTATGTAAATGTCTCTGTTTTGATTTTGTGCTGTGCTGTGTGCGTCTTTTTCGTGCTTCGTTGCACTTTCGAAAACATTTCATGCGAGTGTGTTTTTATCGCAGTATGCCATCACGAGTCCGAGTCAGCATGAGTTCCTGAGCCGAGTTTTAGAAATTAGCGAGCGTGTATATAGCCAATAACCAGCTAATTTCCGTTGATTGCAGAAGAAAAGGAGTAACAAAAACGAGCTTTTCCACTTCAACCAATTCTGAAGCCAGTCAATTCGTTCATTTCGAAAATGGCAATTTTCCAAAATCATAAACATAATTATGTTGTTGCTTAATAAGCATAATTAAATTTTATTATGAAATTGAGGCCCATGCCATGTATGGTAAAATGCACCTCTTTATACACTGACAACAAGTTTAGTCATTTTCAATAAATATAGATTTATGTATATCATTTGTTCTGGCGATAGTGATAACCGATATGCATGATCATTTCCTCATTAACACTAATCGATCTACACTTACGTGACTGGAACTGCAACCGCAGCTACGGCCATAACTTCTTATTGCCGCTAGTACGGCTACTGGTGGTGATCATTGAGCCGGTGAAATTGGTTTTCCTTTTTGTTTGCCATCTCAAAGTGGCTGATTTATTCGCTTGTTCACTCAAATTGATCTAATTTACTAACCTCTTTTTAACACCAGCTTTA